TAATTAATGTCTACAAATAAAATATCCAAAAAATCACTTACCAATCGATATTTCAGGTTCAAAGTGAAGCCACCTGAAAAAAATAAAAATTTTAATCACGGAGGCTGTTTAAATGTTTCGTTTAATCTAGTATGAAGATCTAGAAGGTCCTCCTGGTGCCCAAAAAGATAACTAACAATAATGCTTTAAATTCTAGTGCATCTCTATGCTTATCTGAGTTCTCCTACTGGCTGCAAAAGTTGTTTGTTTGGTTGAAGACAGTAACAAGTAACAACTGATTCGAATCGACAAATCGTCATGATCGTAGAACAATGTCGGATTTGAAAAAAAACCATATTTGGAAACTACATTGACTAAATATTACGGCTACATTAAAAAACAAATTTCATGTGTTTTAAGTTTGATCAGTCGGTAAAGTGACGGATTTGATAGACGCACATAGAAGCATGTGATCTAGAAAACTGTGTCATTTAATATTATTATTATTATTTTGTTTCAAAACCAACCATTTTGTTTGCTTGTATGCCAATTTTCATAATTACAGAATATGAATTAAAATAGTTATGACAAAAACTAACATGATTATATTATTTTGAAATGGCTGCCCTGTAAAGTTTACTATTTGTCAGATCCGTCACTATTCTACGACTATGACGAAATTATTGTTGTGATATAAAGCTATTTATCAAGGATATATGACGGCAGGTGAAAAATCTAGAGAAAAATGAACACAAAGCAATAAAAATACTGTTACCCTATTAAAGTAATAATAAAACAATCTTGTAATAGAGTCATGATAGCAGTCACAGGGTCTATTCCTAAAGGTAAAACAAAAAACTTGGCGATCAAAAGAGTGGCGGAGAGCTTATTGCCAGTTCTTTTCTTTCGTTTTACGCCCTTAATTTGAGAACTGGCAGTAAATGTAAAATAAGAAGCATTTAATATAATTCATTTTTTGACGTTCATAAGTGTACATTGAGTTACCTCAATGAATAAATGATTTTTGATTTGATTTGAAAGCTCACCGCCGTCCACGGACACCTGCAATGCTGCGGGTGTTTTGCTAATCCTTAAGGGAATCATACACTCTTTTCTTGAAGACCCCTAAGTCGTATTGGATCGGTAGCTGTAGGTAGGTTCCACAAAGAGGTGGTACGCGTGCAAGATAGCACCTTTAACGGGGCTGTGTTGTAGAACACTAGAGGTGAAAAGGATGATCACAATTCTAATTAGAGGTTCTGTGATGGAATTACTACAATATTTTTTTTAGGATAGAAGGCATACAGCTCTTGTCTACCAACAAAGTTTACTTTGGGAAGTTATATTGCGCAAATAAAGTAGCAAGTCGGTATAAAATGCTTAAAATACGAGCACTAAATATCTCTCGTAGGCTTTACGAAGGCCGATACGGGTTCATTTATTTCCGGAGCCGTCAGTGGAAAATGGAACAGCGTTAAATGGGAAGATAGGGTAGTGCGATGCTTTATCGTGTTACGTTAAGTATATTAATTCTAATCGTGGAAATCGAGGTCCGTTAGTTGTACTATGAATAATATTATTAATTGTCCGTTGAGGGAACTGACAAGAACGGTAAGAAATAATGAGTCATTTTGTAAATATTTTAATCTTTTACAATTTAATGTTGTATTGTTTTTTTCTATATATATGTATTGTTATTAACGTGCTATAAATGTAAATATTTACCGCATTGGAGTAATCTGTAATGGTAGCTTATTTTGTAAACTAAATAAATATAATCCAACTTATTTTATGTTCAATTCAGTTTAGATAAATTATATTATATACACGTCATCGTCTTCATATAGAAAATGGTCAGACGGTCAGTCAGAGAGAGAGCAGGAAAATGATTCGTTGACGAGATTGAAAGGGTAGCGGCGAAAATAAAATAGAGTGAAAAAAGTTGGAGAAAACTGCATCTTAAAACAACAAAAATTGTAGATACATTTATTGAAGTTATACTTCTTTAGGCGCGTTATGAAAAATTGATGAGAGTGTAATTTTACGATGCGCGCGCACCTGAGACACAAAGTTGTCAGTGTGATTATAGCGTGCGCGAGCGAGATGGGAATAAGACAATCTACAAGTAAAAAGAAATAGAATATGCGTGAAGTTAGCAGCTAAGCCAAGAATTTTGAATGAGCATAATGACATTAACCTTTTGAACAAATAAAGGAGTTTTAATTATTTTTTCAAAGAAATTTAGCAATGCTTTTTCACAAAGACCAATTGTTACTTAGTTAAAAGGTTATGAAACATACGCAGTAATTAAATTGAATGAATAATATAATAAAATAATAATTATTATTATTATTAATATTAATTAATAATTGAATAATATACTAAACATTATTAAATTATTAACGTTATATATTTGTTATTAATTATTTAATATTTAAAAAAAATAAAGAAAGCCAAAGAAGTATAACTTCTTACGCGCGTACATAAGTACACGCACCCTTTTTTTTATACTTTTATATAAACTAGATATGGATAAATAAAAGGCTTTATTATTATTATTTCGAGTAAAAGTTCACGACGAGATCGGAACTGCCTTATTGAAATGAGAGACTGGAACATTTCTTACAAATACTTGAATACTTTCCATCATTCCATGTCCATCATTCATAGTACACAGCTAGTTTCAAAATTTAAATGAAATACAATAAGTTAACGACCAGCTATATCAAATCCAGTCATGATATGAATCTAGTTAAGAATGGTATTGATACAAAATCTACTGGAAATAGAATAGAAATTTCATATTTTCCATGTAGTTGTTTCATAGGTTCCATCCTGGTTTGGTTAAGCTTTCGTTGGACAACACTTTAATTACATATATATAGTTGCAAAGGATTTGCCACAGTGAGAGCCAAACTATAATATATAATTATAGCCAAAAATCTATAGCCTTCCATACATTTTTACACTTAACATTTAATTGTGACTTATGGTCATTTAAAGATTTTTACTTTATTAAATGAAGTACACAATTTACTTTTCTTTCCCTATACTTTATACTTGTTTAAGCCTACTTCTTTAATATATCTAAGACCTTTACAGGTAACATATTAAGACATTTTTTGATTGAGTAGTGGTAGTACATATTCTAAAAAAATATTTGAAGTTCCTAGATTCAATGTTACCCATGTGTTTATGGCATAATCAAAACTACATTAATTAATAATTACTATTTATAAAAATATCATATTTATTTTATTAAATTCTAGAACAGTAGTAAGTCTTCTTCTATAAAAACTAAATTAAAACTATATTTATTTTGGCACTACAACACTAGCTCAAATCAAACCTATGCCCATATCCCGCTCTCATTGATTAATAATCTGCTATAGGGTACTATTTTAAAAAAAATTTTTATCAACATTGGACATACTTTAACCTGTGTTCACAAAGTAATAAGAAATACTAGATTTCTATATGCCAACTTTGGCAAATTTCAATTAATATATGTATCATAGAAACCTAGAGCAAGTAATTGATAACTTTTTCTCAATTAAATATTTTATGAGTTAAAACTAAAATATAACATACTTGACAAACTAACATCCACTTTATAAAGTTAATTCTTTGACTTATTATGCAGAAATTTGATACTAACGGACCATGCATTTGGATATGTTTAGATTAGATATGCAAATAACGTTTTAAATATGATTAAGCAAAAAGAGAAATACATTACAATATTATAGTTGTGGTTTCTGATTGGACTTCCATTTATAATTTATAGAAAAATAATATAAATATTCAATTACAATAAGCGTGGTTTCAATTATGGATTAGTCTATAAGACATGGACCTTAGAGTAAGATAAAACGTTGTATTTAGTGCCTAATTCATGAACAAGAAATACAAAATGTTTAGTGATTATGTTTACAAACCATGCTTAGTTGTACAAAAAATATTGCCAGTGTTACAAACCTTTATTTCACGTTATATCAAACTCTATTCAGCAAAGTTATTTAGCACAAGCACAAATAAGCAAAATAAATAACAAACACTTAAGTCTTAAATCAAAACTATAGGCCAATTGTAATTTGTATTGACACGGATTAATATTGGCATTTAGCACAGATTATTGAATTGACAATATGTAATAGCATAAACAATAGAATAGAGTCAAAATCAATTGGCCTAAAAGACAAAAGTTCAACTACTACAGGTTATCAATAATTTAAAACTTAACACCTTTTACTTGCCTTCGCGTATTTTTTTTATATATTATTTTATCAATTATTACTGTCCAACTATAACGATGTATCTGTATTGTCAGTATAATAGAAAAAGTAATTTGGCACTGCAGCAGTTCGAAATCTCAGCACGGTTTTCTTCACGGTTCTGATTTCTGAATAAAGTACAAACTCTAGGAAACAAGTCGTAGATTAAAGCATTTTTACAGCTTGCTTCGACTTTATATGATTTGGTGTACACTGTGCATTCTATGCATTAATCTAATTATGCTTGTAAAATCAGCTGTTAATTACGAGTTTTAACAGAAAGAGGATATGCTGAAAAGCCTACACCTAGCAAATATAAGTAAACAGCTATCTCAGACATTTACTATACTATAATAAACTAATATAAAACAAAATTTAGTATCCATTTAGGAACATTCAATTATCAAGAGATATTATATTTTAAGGTCATCCGAGTCAATGTCAAAAGATTTCAAATAGGTATGTCAAAAAATCTAAATCTTATGAATCGAGTTTCGACTTTAAACTTTAATGCCTGTGTCTAGAATTTAAATTATATTACCCGATCATATTTTTATAAATTTGTCCTGTCTGACGACTGTCTTCTGCATTAAACAACAATCCGTTCTGTAAAGTGAGCAAAAATACATAAATCGTAATAAAATAACAAGAGACGTAATAATTTCTATTTTCTTACACCATTAAGGAAAAGTAGATAATACCTTGTTAATAAAAAATATTTGTTTGGCAAGTGAGACGTGATAAAAAATGGTTGAACCAGGTAAACAATTCGATGTAAACTCAACCCCGACCTTATCGAACGTGGCCTCAATCCACCCTGATGTGCCTATGTTTCGAAATCCCATACCTTCAACATCCACTGGCGTTCTTGGTCCACCAACTCTACCTCCTAGGCCGGAAATTGCTCAACCAAGTTACATGAACAGTGGAATGTATGGTATGGGAGGATCCTATGGCATGGGGGGATATGGTGGCTACGGTTATGGTGGTGGTATGGGTGGATATGGAATGAGTTCTTATGGTATGGGAGGAATGGGGGGCATTGGAGGAATGGCACCCTATGGAAGTTACAACCGCCACCCAATGGATATTGAAAACAGGTATATTAATAAACAGGAAACTTGTCAAAGTAATAACTGTGGTTTCCTTATCAATAATTCATAATTCTGTATTTTTATGAACACTATACTTAATTTGAAAATATAATGATATTATATGTGAAGGACCAAACATGAGCATTTGCTGCTAGTGTGATTGACTAAATATCAATAAGTACAACAACAACTAAAATTTTCTTATATCTTTTTTATATTATTTAGAAACAGTTGGCTGTCTCAAACTATCTCTGAACATATCTCTTAAGATAACTATTTTAAAGATATGAATATTTAATAGCATTTATCTGAAGTAAATATGTACTTTAATGAAGACCAAAAGCAAGAGACAAAAACTTTTTCTGAAAGTTGTATGCATTATTATTTATTAATATTTAGCAGCATATTAGAATACATTCATACAAATTGTAGTTTTTCTTAAATGTCTTCTTTTTATTACAATTAAAAAAAAAAAACAATTAATGAAAAGAAGATACTCCATGTATTTTCCCTTGAATATATTGGTGTATGCTTTATTTAATTTGCTCTAGGTTTATTCAAATGGCAGAAGAGAGTTCACGCCCAGCCTTTGACTCAATACAAAGTATTGTGAATGCTGTTGGGAGTGTGGCTATGATGCTTGAGAGCACATTCTTCGCTCTGACAAGTTCATTTCGAGCTATATTAGGTATTTAATTTGTTTACAATCAGGAACAAATCAAATCAGTATCAAAAACTCTAACAGGAAAGTACATACATATCTGTACTTGTGGTTCTGTGTTTTCTTATTTTTGTTTAAATTCAGAATCAGTTGTATTTTGACTGACAGCTTAATGGAAATTGGCATTGACTAGACTTGTGCTTTGTATGATTAGGCCACTGAGGCACTATTACTACTATAATATTTAAAAAAAAGGTGGAATGATATAAAGAAGAGTTGTTATTCAATGATATGTTGAGTACAGTACTTATATTTTTGATTTCCCTTTGGAATTACTAGTATTATCAAACATTTAACTATACAAACAAGATTCAGCTACCATTAAAATGTGCAACTTCTAAGACTCAGTTGTTAAATAACTATGCTAAAACTGCATTTTAATTTATTTACAGAACTATACATATGTCTTTGTTGTACCATTTTTACGAATATTTTTAGATTTTTATATACTTGTATTTCAGGTGTTGCAGAAAACTTTGGCCGCTTACGAACACTATTTGCCCAGTTTTGGTCAACATTTGCTGTTGTAAGATCACTTAACTGGCTTATTAGGAAACTTTTGGTGCTTCTAGGTATTAGGACTGAATGTGAATTTAAGGTAAGGTGTTATTATATATTTTCATATCCAAGTGTTCAAGTATCATATTTTCAAAATATCAGACACTTTGTACTACTATATATATGTTTCTAGTACTACCAAATCATATAGTAATTATTTTTACCAAAATCTAACAGATAAAGGTAGCTTAAACTGTCTTATAAGACAAATGTAGTATTCATGTAGCGGTTAGTATAATTTCTCTACTAAAAAATATATGAAGCATAACAAAATTCATTTATAGGGAAATTTATTTTTAACATACATAAAATAATTATTCTCAATACATTCAAAAACTTCGTTTATTTTAATAGGCTAAATCTCATTTATCTATGGAAATAAGAATCTTAATATTTATAAAATTTCCTCAATATCTTATCATCTAGTCTCGCAAGTTAAAATAAAAATAGTTTTGGAAGATAAATGCTATATCAACAATGACGTTATTTGAGAAAATGTAGGCTTTATAAATGTTTTTAATTATTGTTGAGAGTAGTTAATGTGATCCTTAAGCTTAGGTTTCCTAGAAAAGCGGTGCCGTTAAGTAACGGCCGTCATTTTACGGTTGTTAATAACAGCCGTCTTTACTTTTTAACTTAATGCAAAAAAACAATCTATTCGCTCGTCCAAGTCACGTTTCCACTCATTGTATTAATTAAATATGGGCACCGCTACACGCGAAACACGTTGAACTAATGTTTTCCACCGCTATGACGACCGTCATGCAATGACAGCACCACCGTTTGACGTTATGACACCACGCAGAAAACCCCCGATTATTTACAACTATTGACTTCACCCAACGTTACATTACGGCCGTTAGATAGCGGCACCGCTTTTCTAGGAAACCTAAGCTTTAACCCTAATGTCGGGTGTTTGAAACCCGACTGTACCAATACAATTTTCTTTTTATGTGCTTTAATTCCTACTCTTACCGTGAAATAAGTTTAAAAAATAGACCGCCATTGAATTATTATTATTATTAAGGCATGGGCGGAAGCAGTGCAAACAACACAAATGGGTGTGGCAACACCGGAACAAAAAAACAAAGGCTCAAGTTGGCCGATTCTTCTGTTCTTTGGAGTGATTGCTGCTGCTCCGTATATTGTATTGAAGATGATGAATGGACTGTCTTCAAGTATCAATGAGCGATGTAAGTATCTTGTTCTGTCAAATATAAAGGATATGACTTAGGGGAATAGCCACTAGCGGTCAAATAGATACGTTATTATGAAATCGAACGTGATCGAAGTGACGCATCTGCGGCCACTACAAAACCGCGCCGCTTCATACATAATCCTGATCTAAGGTTTACTACTGAGATTGATATTTCAATCAATTTCTCATAAAATACTTTTCAATAACCGATCGATGGATCGTTTTTGTAAAATATCTTTGAATCTTTTGATTTTTCGGATCTTAGAGAGAGAATCGTCGGGGCGACTCTCATCCCTGAGGTCGAAGGTTCGATCCCCAGTGGACTTTATATGTGGGCATCTATCATTCGTTCGAACGGTGAAGGGAAACATCGTGAGGAAACCGGCTTGCCTTAGTTCTAAACAGTCGATGTGACACAGGAGCATGATCACCTAATTGCCTATTAGATTGACAAATCATCATAAAACGTACAGAAATCTGAGGCCCAGACCTAAAAAGGTTGTAGCGCCACTTTTAGGGCCTTCAAATTTGCCGCAAGGTGCACGTATTTTATTGTAAATCTAAACATGAACGGAAATCAGGTTGTAAATTTAAAGGCGCCCATATACATAACTTTACTAATTTTATTGTTTCACATTTTTTACTACACTACTAACTACATTTACACTTTTTTTTTTTTTCAGTACACGACCCCCATACATGGCAGAATCCATTAAGAGCGGTCGCTCAGCACGACTTTCAGGCAACGACGCCTCAAGAATTGAGCATTAATGCGAATCAAGTGATAACATTGGCACCGCAGCACTTACAGGTGAAAACTTTTTAATTAAGGGTAATATTCAGGATCAAAACTAAGCGCTAAGTATGACTTCTATATGTCAAATTATTCTGGAGTTGACGTAAGGTAAACTTAGTGCTTGCTTAAATGGTAGAATTTTTTCGATTTTTTTTAGACAAAATACCAGTAAACAAATGCAGCTGTCGTGCTAGCTAATTTGAAAATACATATTTTGTATTTAATTTCGGAGTTCGGTTTCTATGGTATGGCTTCACCATTATTGTTTCACCAGAATACAATACAGATACAGATCATTAAAATATCAAAACACACGCATTTCTACTATAAAATACTTGTAAGTTGTGGTGTGTGACTGTAAGTTGAAATTAGTAGTTAATTTTTTATCAAAATCAGTCAAAAAATTTAAATCATCAAAAACTCCAAATTTCATCCGCATCACCTGGAAGGAAGTCTTCCACGATCCGCGTTACTAGACATATTCTTTTTCGAACTAGCGAACTGTGGAATCGACTCCCGGTGGAGGTCTTCCCTGAAAGATACGATCTGCAATTGTTTAAAGAAATAGTTATTATAGTAAGGCCGGCCGACCCTCTAAAATGGGTGTCTATGGGCTGCGATGACTGCCCTTTTTGGGTGTCCGGTAGCTTCGGTTGCCTCCAATCCTATTTTTTTTTATGGACAATTCACACCAATTGACCTAGTCCCATGCTAAGCTGGTGAAGCTTGTGTTATGGGTACTAGGCAACGGATATACATACATATTATAGATAGATAGACATATAATTACATATTTAAACACCCAAGACCTAAGCACAACACCAAATGCTCATCACATCGATGTTCGTCTCAGCCGGGATCGAACCCATGGATTCGCAGTCAGGGGTACTAACCACTAGACCCATTGGTCTAGTGCCGTTTTTTAAAGAGTAATTTATTTTAAAAAATTATAGAAGACATAAATAATCTTAAACTCTTAATGCCAATAATTTATGTTAACCTCATTAAAATTCTCCAACAGGGACATCTATGGAATTCTGGTTGGTTAATGGCAACCATAGACAAACAGTTTGCAGGCCTTGTACCTGTGAATTATATCAAAGTTATCAAACCGACTGAAAATACTGAGCCCAATGAGGATTTGGAGAAATGTTACAAGCAACAATTGTAGTGTGTAAGCAATATTAATTGTGATAGATTTTTACAACACTCACAACGGACCTAATGAGAGTCTAAGGGCCTGTTTCACAATGTATGGATAAAGTACCAAATAGCTATGCAACACATAAATTATTTGGAAGATAAATTGTGGTATTTGACACTTCATCGGACTCATACTTATGATGGACTTTATGTGTGACGAATAGCGCTATCTGACAGTCGTGAAACGCAACAATAGTGTTTATCCTACCAATAAGTAGTAAATAGCTAATTTGGAACGTATCCATCCGTACATTGTGAAACAGACCCTAAGTGCGGAAACTAAGTCCACTAACCATTAGATTTTTCAAATCCATATCAATTTTGGAAAAGAAAATTCATACAAATTTGACACCAAAGGTGTTCAAAAGTGATAATGAGTATGACGCAATTTATTCAATTGTTTTTTTCGGCGTCGTCATCTCTTACATTTTATCATCAGCCTCTTTTTTGGTCCATTTCTGGACGTAGGCCTCCTCAACCTTCCTCCAGTACGCCCTGCACTGGCCTATGCATCCACTAAAAGCCATACTTGACGATGTCGCGGTCTTTTGTTCTACCGAGGTCTCCATTCAAGGAGCTTGCGGGTCCGTCGGTTCTTATCCATGCGCGGTATGTGGCCTGCCCACCTGATATATCTTGTTTCTAAAGTAAAACTTCCCTTCCTTTATTTAAAATCTTCCTTAAAAAATCCACGGCGAATACTGCGACATCATCTTCAAATTTATGGCTCCTGAGTTGTTACTTCAATCTCGGAAATAGGTAGAAATCACTAAGAGTTAGGTCCTGAGAATATGGTAGATGTTCCATCAATTCGAAGCCAGCTTCTTGATTGGCAGCCATCGCAACTCTGGACGGGGACGTTATCTTGCTTGCTTATTTCCTCACGCAATTTTGTTATTTGTCCTCTATACAAAGTCCCCGTAATCATTACCACCCCTTTGCTGTCCCAGAAACAGTCCATGATCCAAACGGATGGAAGCGCCATAAACTTCTTCGGAATTGGAGATGGCTCTTCCAAATCTGTTTTTTCATTTCTGGGTCATAATGGTGAAAGCATGTTTTGTTCATATCTTGTAACTGACCCAAACAGCTTTATGAAATTCTCAGCCTCGTTTGTTTCTGCACATTCTTAAGCATTCTGGGCACCCAGCGCGCTGACACTCCATACCCAAATGGTTGTGTATAATATTATGGTCACTTCTTATAAAATCTTCATGTCTTCTGCTTTAAAACAAACAATAACACGATGTTCCGCGAAGACCAATGTTTTCCAGCTTTTAATTAGTTTAACCGATTTAGGGAGTCCCGTGCGGGGTCGTTAATGGAAGTTATTCCTCTGAACTCCAACGCGCCACCGTAGAATATAAACTAAATGTTGCTCTCAATTCTTACAGAAGTAATTATTACCCATCTGACACGACGCAAACAAATGAATTCTATTTAAAAAAACAAAAGAGGAATGATTATTTTATTATTATATTATATTACGTCTGGGCTATGCTAGTATTTTTTCCATGGAGAATGAATGCATTATCACTATTTATTGAACACTCTTCATAGGAGGAACTATTCTAAAGACTAAATACTGCGGTCAATTTATTTTTAGATTGTAAAACGTCTTTTGTTTGTCTGGTTTATATTATTCTCGGTCGTAGGTCTCGATAAAATTAGATGATAATATTGAAAGTGCATTTCTTTCATGTAGGATTTACATGAATTATAATATTTTCCCAGACGCACGCGCCAGACATAACAGTAAGTGTATCTAGTCTTGAACACTCACTCTTCAAACTTTATATATATATATATATATATATAGACAGAAGATGGTTGATAGCTCCTGAAATTACTTTTACTCGCAAATCTGCCATAACTTCTTTACTTACACTGTTAATTTTTTACTATTATTATTACATTATTTTTCTTTTTTTTTTGCGTTGCCAGGGCCAGTTATAGTCACAACACACACACATATTAGGGAGCGTTCAAGTATTACGACTACCCCCCTCCCATGTAACGCACCGTAACGTTTTTCTGTACCAATGTATAATAAAACGTTTTAATTATTATTATTTTGTGTGTTCCGTTAGTTACGTTGTGTAAAAATTGTTATGTATGTGATATGTCTGAAACTAGATAAGTTTGAATTAATCTACAAAAGGAATTTAAACTAACACACTTACAATCTTTAACTACAACCAGTGTGGTTATTCTGACCGCTAAGGATATATACAACTACTCGACACTAGCCACTGGGGCCAGGCTTCGCTCGCCATAATAGCCAGACCTGTCAAGGCCCTTCAGGCTAAGGCGATATTTTATTAAAAAATAGGCAAATTTCATGACAATTTGTGCAGATCTATTTGCCGTACTGAGTAAAATTGGACCTTTCTTTTAAAGGATGAGAAAAATTACCTTTCTCAATAGTATGTACAAACTATGTATCTAAGGCCAAGACAAGGCTCTATATTCATATATAATAACAATAGCCTTGAACATTGAAGTTTCATTTATATGGATGCTAAAAAACTTTACTTTTAACTGTAGGTATTTTACCTTTAACTTAGGGACATGCTTGTATTGTCAGGGTTTGGTTTGGCCATTATTGGACAAAGGTCTCCTCCATCCGGTTCCTCTCGTGTCAGTGGTAGGCCAGTCATATATTTATTAGTGTCCCAATGAGTAGAATGGGCTAGGTTAGGTTAGGTTAGGTAGTGTACACTTAATGTACTCACCCAATTTGCTAATGTCACAAACCTGGGATTACGTGGTACGAAAACTAAGGTTCCAACTTTGTGCAAAAGCGTATAATACTTATCTATGGAAATAATTATTCTGGCGAATCTGGAAACTTGGATAATTACAATATTATTTGCGGCTCGTCTATAGCAATTTAGAAATACATATTATGTAAATAAGGTGTTTAATAAACAAGTAAAATTAAAAATAGTTCGATATATTGATTGGACTTAATAAGTAGATAAGAAAATATATTTAAATGTAATATGGGACACCATTAAAGGCGCGATTATGTTATTGTGATAAACTTTTAATTTTTTGTTAAATGGTGTAATGGTTTTTACAATAAGTTATTCTACTAGTTTTTACATGTTAACTATGGAATTTATTTCGCATTTCCTCACCATCCGTGAGCTCTCTAAAGGGAATGGACTGAAGTTATTAAATAATTCGATATATTGATTTGTTTTATTTTAGTTAGTAATTATTTATTTACCTAAATAGCGGTAGAACAAAAAAACAATCAAAGATACCATCTAAAGGCGTCAGATGTGAAGCTGAACAGTCTCAGTAAATGTGGAATTTATAAATATGTACATACTATATTTAATTTAATGTGCATATATAGGCTTTGGTTGTATTTTGATTCTTACACAAAAATATCAGAATCAGATGAATTGTCATGTATCATTCTTAAATTTTTAAGATCGAAGTGATGGCAATAATTTTGAATACTATTTTCATGTCCAAGAAATTCCATCTTGTTTTCATCAAACTTTTTTATGTATGTAGGGTAAAGTTCGAACTTTTTTCCCCTGAACGCAAACGTCCTTGCATAATCGGTCCACAATTTCTCAAAATACTGAAATAAAATGTTAATGTAGTACTTATATATATATTTATGAGGAAAATAATAAAAATATAGGTTTTAATATTTAATGTAAAAGTTTACAAGTAGGGTTCGGGGAATTCGAATGTTACTTCACGCCCCGTCAGCTTCTTGTATACTGATTGGAAGGTGTCCACCTGTTGGCAAAAAATAAATGTGTCATTTTCATATAAAAACATAATGCCATTTATGTGAATGTTCAAGGTGACGAAGTGTAAATAAATAAATGCCTCTAATATTTATAGAATGTTATGGCACTATTATTCGTATTCAATGATGACTTGTATTTCCATAATAATACATTTCTTAATTATTCATTACACATAACATAATAAAGACACTTCATTTACCATGCATGGCAAGAGTCAGCAAATAACGTAAATTAGCCAAATATAAAGACACAAACAATGGTGAGTTTCAATTTAATATTTCATTTTAAAAACTGTCTGGAAGAGTGGACTGAGGGTACTATTTATAGCAGTGATGGGTTTTATAAACAAAATTGGTTAAAAAAAGACTGTTTCAACTTGCAATACTAGAAAAAAATAACTTCATGTAAAGCCATCACAATCATAACAATTTTACTTTTCTTGAGACAAGAAAATATATATTCAAAGAGGTTTGCTACTAAGCACCTACAATAATATTTCACATCTAGAAACAAAAAAACTTAATTAAAAGCTTTAAACGCATTAAATGTATATAATGGAACAAATACTCAAAAAATTTAATATATGGTTAATACAAACCTTGTGCTCAATGGTGGTCTGCTGGTTTTTGTCTAAGTGCACCTTGATGACTTGAGAGCCGTCCAGCTTGATCCGGATCCTCTTGCCAACAATCTCAGCGGGGAACACTAGATCCTCTAGGATAGCATCATATACTGATGTTAGTGTTCTGAAAAATAATAGTATTCTACTTAATAACAAATTCACATTTTTTTTCTCCACTTTGTGGCTTAATGGTTAGATTTTAAGAGCATCTAAAATGGTTATGAAGAAAATGTACCAATAAAGCAAATAACATATTGTGTATGTCTTAATAAAGTTCATGAGCCTATAAATTCAGTTTTCCTGCCTTTTGGTTTCATATTTCACATAAAATGTAATTTATTTATTAAGAGACTTTCAAGTTATAAATAGTAGTAATGTTTTCAATAATAATAATATTCACATGGAACACAAATTAGTGTAAATACACATAATAACAATAAATTAATAATATAATATTAAATTGTAGTTATGAAATGTTACATTTTATATACAGGCTTCTTCAAAACGGCAACAGATCAATCTAGCTGGTAAATTACTATAAAAATAATTATTATTGGCATGGCATTGAAACTAGACAAAATAAAAATTAGTAGTGTTTTATAGTTTATCTGACCTAGATCTAGGCCTCTTCTGCTTGTGAGCAACACGAGTCTTGTGGCTGGGCTTGGGCAGGATTTTTCTGTCACCAATGAACACAACATGTTTGCCACTGAATTTCTTTTCAAGCTCACGGACTAAACGGATCTGGATCTTTTGGAAATGCTTCAGCTTGGGCATGGGCACATAGATGATGATTGACTGAAATTTTTAGTTTTTAATTAGCTAGAGAATTAAAAAACAATATTACATTGATACTATAGAGTATTCATCATAACGAAAATTGTCATAGTTATTAAATTTAAATAATATACAACCATAAAGCAAATATTTATACCAGGGCAAAGAAACAACTATTATGAATTGTTTACTGTACTGAAATGTAATGAAAATGTACTACTGTACTTTATTTTAGAAACCATTATTTAAGCTTTATAAATTAATGTTACTTACTTTTTTATTGTGTAGTTCAATTTCTTTAGCCTTAGTTATGTGTAACTCCCTAAGTTGAGCCTTGAGGTCCGAATTGGTCTCAAGTTCAACCAGCGCCTGAGAGATCGAAGTCTCAAAGTTGTCGGCTTCAACGCCGCCAGGCTTGATAATCTTCGTACTCATCTGTAAAATTAACCACCATTTATCTATAGCACTCAACACCAGTTTTGAGGTTAGGGTATATATCACTCGGTAAATATTAACACTTGTAAAATTGTATATATTTTATAGCACATAAGATCCAAACCAGAATAACACTAGTTAATGTAATTTAAACTTTTAAATATTGTCACATATTTCTTGACCAAAACAACGTTGAAGGCGACATGAACAGATAAAATTTTAGCAGCAAAAGTTATCGGCATAATCTTTACCCTAAATAATAAAATTAATATTTTCAACGACGTTTCAAGAAATTAAGTTAAGAAATTAAGCAATATTTACAATAATTATTCACTAATTTATTATTTTCGTAGAAAAATTTGTACAAAAATATCCACCTTGAAGACTGAGCAGGAGTAAAAGAGACAGAAAAACAAAAGTGACAATCTGTCTAAAACAGTACACTTGTTTTGACAGTACGAGGACTACTTCGAACATAGACAAAAAATGTATAAGGACTGTCATTTAAAAGTATTTATCTAAGCGACTTCGTATTTTTTTTTAAATTTTATGGCGAGCGATTACGTTAAAATATATCAACATAGATAAAATTAAAATAAACTTTACGTATGAAATTAACAGTAAAATAAATCTAAAAAAAAGTTCACTCTCTTAATTATCTCTAATAATTGTTGTTTTTTTACTTGAGAAGAAGAATTAAAGTTTATTACTCGTTGGCATTGACTCTATGATAAGTATAGACTATAGAAGTATAGAGGACTAGAGCTAATTGTCTTGTAGTTGTCATAAAAAACATATCGCGCACCGGTAAATAAATAATATAATTAATTTATAAATTATACTAAGAATCTCATATTATCTAACATGATTATCAAGTGTGCAAACCGTTCTTTTATTAGTTTGTGATATTATATTTTAGTTCCTCTCAGCTGTTATTTAGCCAATATGTATGCCCTTAAATAGTTAGAAAACAGGAATTATATATAGATGAGATCATTATCATTGCGTAAGTAACTGTATATTTTAATTTACCAAGTATTTTATGAATGTACTACTAGAATGTTGAGTCCAAATTCACATCAATGAGTGACATCATTTTATTGGTAAAATATTTCTTAAAAATTCCCTGATACTTTTCTGTAGTTCAGCCCAGCTTTACTGAACTGACTTCCCTTATTTTTTATAAAAACCACTTAGGGTACTTTTATTTAACATTCTGTTTTACACCTAATGCTGATTTTCAATATATTGAAGTAGTATGTTTGAGTTTATTCCGAAACTTTATATTTTTCTCACTATAAGAATTCATTTAAAAAGTTGTCAGTTTTAAACTACATTTTCCTATACAAAATAATTATAAGTATTCTTGAAATATAATCTAGAATGTCAAAGTCACTATGTGCATTTTACAAACTAAATTTTATTTATTATTTATTTACTAGAATCTTTAATTTAATTGTAATAATATAAGTATGTTATACTACTCTACTATATCAATTTATCAGATTAGCAAATATATACATTATACTAGCATGATATAAATTTATCTAGACTACAAGATTACATTGTAAAGATCATTGACATACACTTGATCAATTAAATTGTGTATTTAGTTTTTTATTATTTATTACTTAAGATGCCATTTGGAACATGGTGTAATGGTTGCAGCTCCGTACAAACGTTGTGTAAAACAAAAAACTTGGCAATTCAAAAGAGTGGCGGCGAGTATATTGCCAGTTCTTCTCTTCCGTTCTATGCCCTTGATTTGAGAACTGGCAGTAAAAGTAAAATTATAAGCATTTTATATATATTTCTTTTTTTTGACATTCATAAGTGTACATTGTGTTACCTATATGAATAAATGATTTTTGACTTATTGCAGCTTATAATATTTCACTGACAATGAATATTTTTTTACCTATGATCAATTCCTGTAAGCCTAGGGAATCTTCAGGGTTTGTATGTAAGAAGAAAAATACACTGCAAAAAGAAACTGTCCGACATGAGTCACTATGGCTTTGTATGGAAACGATAATCAGACAAACTCACACTTATGATGTGTAGGTTACTCTCATTTGAAAATATGTTTTTAGGGCGATCATAAATAGAAAAATATATAATTATTAAATTTGTATATTAAATCAATGAATATAACTCTATTCTATTGCATTGAAAATAATATGATTTCATTAGAAACACTGATCAGAAAGCTTAATTCCATGCATACAATGTCAGATGCTAGTTATGATGTATAGGGTAGATAGGAAAATGTTATCTTGTATTGCTGGAAACAATACTAAACAACTTGATAACAATAATCTACAAATTATTAGGCTATTAATGGGATAAGGCGATAGCAGTTACACGACGTACGTGGCCGCCGTCGCTTGTCATTCTGTGGTTAATAAAAAGTTAGTATTTTTTCCTCTATTTAATTTTTTTTTGTGGAAAGTGTCTGTTGTCTACAGCTTTAATTTTTGAGTAAGAAACTTCCATTTTTAAAATTCCATATTTAAATTTTTAAATTTATTGTTCATGAAAGTCTACAGGATAAGGTTATCTCTATGTTTTATGACCCACTATAACAAAATTTTAATACCTATTTAGCCGATCCGTTTTTGAAGGCCAACACAATATCAATTGACGTAGAAAACTATAACGAACTGGTTATATGAGATAAACGGGTTATTATTTACAATATATGAATTTTTTATGTTTGAATATCAGTTACGGGTTTCATCATTTTAATTTCATCTATAATTGCGTTAGTATTATATACTGGGTATATAAAAATAGGATAATTTAATCATTTAGGTAACTTCAGTATCAATTGTGTTAACAAAAATCTTCAGGTAAACGTTGTGTACGTAGCAAGAAACTCGACACTGATGAAATATGTTTATTTTATTATTCTTTGTAATACAAGGTTAGCGGTGTTTTAAAATATATGTTTATCGTATTACAGTGTTACTAATAATTGTCAAACTATAAATTAATAAGTTTTTCCTGTGTTATTCATAGCGTATTTATTACTCTCGTAATTAAAGAGTTAACGAATAGCTGTTAATAGTACAATAATGTTATTCAAAACGAAACAATATATCTTACAAACGCTAATACATATTATTAGATATCTATATTCTTTTTAGACAAGTCGGGATTCTTAAGGGTCCATTATCTAATTCCCAAGTCCCAATATCGTCTTTTCTTTTCATTATAGTGATCTTTATATATCGCAGCCAACTAGCTTAATTAGCCGTTCAATTAACAGCCTAGCCTATTAACTAAACGGCGCCGTTTAACTAGCGGCCTGAAAGATGATCAGCCGTAGCGTTTGTAACATTAATAACATTTATAATTATTAACTAGTTTACAGTTAAAAATAAAGTTAAAATAGCTGTTTCTAAATTTGTAAATAAATTAAATTCATTCACACACCCTTACATATATTCACACAACTCTACATATAGTCACACTCCCTAACATATATACACACACCCTTACATAATATAATCACACACCCACAACCACTCATGCTTTAGTAATATTTTGTTTTGTTTGTTACTTTAGTCCTAGTAGTCATCTCTTTGTATATTTTCTATCCGCGATTGAAGGCTGGGTGACCTTACCACAGGACTTCTATTGTACCTTTATAGGCATCAGCCTCTGATAAAGAATGTCAATAGCTGCAGTATATAAACCTATAAAATGCAATATTGTGATGAGGCAAATAAAGTTTATTATTTTTATATTCAGAAACGAAATTTATCAGTAATCACTCCCATGTGTCGTGGAATCAATGTTCGATTTTTATAACCTATATCATACATTTTTATAACTAGTAGGATTAATATTTATAATGTATATATAAATGACGTTTGATCTTTTATCGGTATGGATATCACGTTTTCAATTAAAAATAAACGTATGTTCGAGTTCCTAGTGAATAAAATACAATCGTATCTGTTTTGAGGTTTCCTTGTTTGAATTTTACGTAAGTCACAAATAACGTCTTTGCAAGAATTATGGCAGCCGTGTGTATGAATCTTATCCTAATAGGTTTTTAGTCCATGCCTTTTGAGTATTAAAAAAATAAAGACAAATTAGTAATTAATTCAAGTAGCAAGTTTGTTTTAAAGTATTAAAGCAGTTTTATATACTAATGTCGACGCTTCAGTGGACGGAGTAATTGTGACCAATTTGTGTTCCTCCGTCAAATATAATATTTTTGTTTAATAAATAAAACGAGGGTCCTAGCGTGTGACCCTAAATAAAAAATTCACACAATAAAAAAAAATGGGAAATTATTGGGAAAACCAGACTAAAGAATATTTACAAATAATAGTGCAACTAGTAGTGCAACTTGGTCAGTTCAAAGGAAACTAATACAGGTTAATTAACCTATGTAATTCGTTGACTAACATAATACAGCGAATAATATGTCCCGTCTAAATTTCTATGGATCAGTGATGCTAACTACATAATGTTCCTCCTATGACTAACTTCAAATACCTACCCCTAAATATCGACTAAAAACCCCTAGTTTTTGTGGTTTGAGAGGTAATTTCAAATGTGCGTGAAAAATACGTCCAAGTACTATAAAATAGCTGTTATTACGATCTTGGAGTATTATAGGTTTTTGATATTTCCACTTAGTTATAACCACGCTTTGAATTTATATTTGGTTTAATTTCGTTACGTTCTATGCTTAATATAAATTGTATGGAAACGTTTAATTGTAAAGATAAAACATTTTTTTCTTAAATAAAGTAAAATCCTAAAATCCCCTGATTCCCTCTAAATTTGGGGAAAAACTCCCAAGTTGGCATCACTGCTATCAATTAATTAGTGAACAGTATTTCTATTATTTTGGGTGTGACGCTATACAAGTGTTGAGCGCAGATGTTCTATGACTAACTCACGGTAGAGCTATTCATGGAAGAGGCTTCACGCCTCGGTTCTCGATAAACAACGTACGGTTACTTCACGACATATGACATGTAAATAAATGTTATGTCTAGCTTAATGAGACTGTACTCGCGTTCACCAAGACTGACCATGCGGTCACAGCACTACTGTTGTAGTAAGGCCAAAAGATGTATACTAGTTCTATTACTACTAATAGTAGTTATAGTAGAATCATTGGGATACGAAATTATAATGAAAACAAGACGAAATGATTGCAGGCCAACGTTTAATGTGACAAGCACTAGGCAAACAATTATGACGAAGAAATATATCGATTCATCTAATATACAAAATTCTCGTGTCACAATGTTCGTTCCCATACTCCTCCGAAACGGCTCGGCCGATTCTTATGAAATTTTTTATGCATATTCAGTAAGTTTAAGAATCGGACAACATCTATTTTTAATCCCCCTAAATTTTAAGGGTGGTCTACCCCTAAATTTTGATGTTTTAGACAAAACTTTGTTTTTATTATTTTATGATACGACATACAAAAATACACACAACCCTTAATTGGAATCCCTCTACTCAACCCCTATTTTTTATTACAGTAGATAGTTATTTTTACTGAACTAAAAAAATGTTTCCTAGAAAAAGTTTCCTTTTTACGGTCCATTTTTAGAACGGATTTTGATAACGTAACACGACCTTTGTAACGATATTTAGTACATGCAGAGATTGGTGAACTGGATTGATAGTTTTAATATCTAATTACAATTATGTAACGAAGTATTCAGGAACGAATCATTTGAATAATCATGTTTTAATCTTAGCATTTGCTTTTTTTTCTGTCTGGTAAGTTTATTAGTTGTCTTTATAGAACTTTTTATATTATAAATTAGCCCCCGCGAACTTTTTTTCACCACAATACTTAGCCATATTTTACAATTAATTTATGTATATGTATATTGTATATATAGGATTAGGTTACGCATTCTTGCATTTCTTCACTGTTTTTAAAGTTTATTAACATTTGATCAATAAGTGTTTATATAACATATCAAGTTTCAATATTGATGATTAATATAAAGGAATTGCCAATTCGTAAATATTGTGTTTTCAAGTGCAACGCAAGTACATACCAATGTTTATAATACATGTATGTGTAGATAACATAACTCGTTGTAACTTACGTAAATTTATCAATTACGACAAATTTGTTATAATTTGTTATTTTATCGCAGGTTCAATGGAATTTAAACCGTATGTTTTAAATGAGAAGGTTAATATTTCTATATTTTTGTTCTATATATAGAATGGGCTTACGTGACACGATCCGAATCAAAGGTACCCTCTAGATACCCCCGGCATTCCATCATCCTATTTGTCTTTCCTTCCAGCGAACGCGTTTTAACCAAAAATCACCTCTGACAAACAATCTGGATATCCATAGCTACCCTCACACTGAAATAAATTTTTAATAAATTAATTTCTGATTTGTATTTTTTTATCTCTTCGCGTTTGTTATTAGTCTATAAGTGTTTGTTACATTAAATCTTGTGTTTTATTTTTCTTGTACCAATGTTGGCCGAGCCCAACGCAAGCTTTTGTAATAAGGGGTCGCACCGTCATCATTTCGTCTTTTGTTTTCATTATAATCTCGCATTCTTCTACATGCCTATAACTACTATTAGTAGTAATAGACTAGTATACGTCTTTTGACTCTTATCCCTGAGGTGGTAGGTTCGATCCCCGATTGTGCACCAATGGACTTTTTTTTATGTGCGTATTTAACATTCGCTCGAACGGTGAAGGAAAACATCGTGAGGTAACCGGCTTGCCAAAAAGTCGACGGCGTGTGTCGGGCACAGAGGCTGATCCTACTTGCCTATTAGATTGACGAATGATGATACGGAAATCTGAGGCCTAATCTAAACCGAAAAAAAATTCCTAATAAATCCCCGCCCCCCATCGTAACGTTTTACAAAACCCCCTCCCCCAAATTGTTACGTAATACGAACGCTCCCAAGTGGGATGAAAATTATTTTTAAGTATGAATTTTCGTTTCAGTAAAATGCCAGCGATTCTAGTGACGGGTGGGGCTGGGTACGTGGGCTCACATACCGTGGTCACGCTGTTGGAGCAGGAAGACATTGATGAAATCGTCGTGGTGGATAATCTATGTAATAGTTATCGGTGAGTGAGAGTATTGAACTGAGATCGTACGGTGAAGGAATATATCGTGAGGAAACCGGCATGCATTAGACCCAAATCGACGGCGTGTGTCAGGCCTGATTATCTACTGTTACGAATAATATATGACATAATAGGTGGAGAAATCTGAGGCCTAGACCTAGACTGTAGCGCCACGGTAAACATTTTTATAATTTCCTTTAATGGTAACTTATTAGAACAGGAGGCAAACGGGCAGGACGCTCATCTGATGTTAAGTGATACCGCCGCTCATGGACAAACTCAGATTTATATAAATTATACATTTATATAAATACTAGCTGATCCGGCATAAAACAGCTACGTCGTTTTGCAATGTATATCATTTATAAAAAAAATAGTGGTTTTATTATGAATTTTGACTCATAATAATATTGAAAATTATTAAAAAAATAAAAATCATATATTTCTTTTTTTTTTTAAGAAATGTTAGTGGTGTGACTACGTTGAACATTTAGGGTAGATGAAAAATAGATGTTGGTCCGATTCTCAGACATACCGCAATACTAGTGGCAGCTCACATGAGTGAATGAGGCGTTTTGTTATTTCAAAAAGTAGAGAATTGTTCAAGTTTTCGTGTCTAAATGTTCTTTTTCAATGAGGAGAGTGTTAACTTTCAGAAGACACCGGCGACACGAGAATTTTATATATTAGATTCAACCTATTATTTTTATTAGAACTTGCAAATTTTAAAATGCTGTAGATGCGGACTTACAAGAGGAAGACTACAAGATGGTCTTACACTACTGGTATCTATCATGACCTGGCGAAATTGTTACGCCTAACAGTCAATAAAACAGCAGATTTATGATTATAAATTTCAAAATTATTAATTCAATTTTCGCCTATACAACACCGAGGGAAGTATATCTCCTCACAAGAGAACCGTTGGAAAGAGTGCGAGGTGGGTGTGAGGCCCCCCCACCCAATTGCAAAAAGTTTTCCGGGAAGGGGTGGTTTGTTTGTTTTCAAAAAAAAACAAACAAAATACAACATTGCGTGAGTGTCAAATGTCGTTTTGTTGATTCTAGTTTCGGTTAATTATACAAAGAAAGATTTCTTAAAATTTGTGGAACGTTGGTGTCATTTTTTTTATCCAGATAGACCCAGATTAGTGTAATTGATGTCTCATAATTAGATATTGACGAACCAAAACACAAAAACATAAATATCGTTGTTGTTAAGGTAAAACAGGATAACTCATTGATTTAATGGTGTATCACCACGTTGTATTTATACGTCAAAGCAATGACATTACTGACAGCTGTCATTGTCATTATATGTCACAGAGCAGCGCCTATTATTGAGGCCTCGCATTGGTTCTAGTTTGTGTAAATAAACATCGGTCATTTGCGCTAAATTAAAATAATATTTTAATATACAATCTCTTTACAGACATGACAGTGACAAGAAACCAGTCGCACTTCGCAGGATTGAAGAGATGACAGGAAGAACATTACATTTCTACCCAATAGATTTAAGTGACCAGAAAGCGCTCGCCAAAGTTTTTGAAAATGTAGGTATTAACGCCTTTAGTACACCTACGCAATCGCATCCGGCGGAGGAAACGACGAAAAACTTGTAAGTTGTATGGCAACGTTTCGCATGTGTTTTTTCTCCCCCCATTATATATAGATGAATTAGCGCCTTGTCGGTATTGTTTCGCAACTAACTGCGAAATGGCTGTTACACAAGCAGACGTTTCGCTAATGAAGTTTCGCATCGCAAGGCTACCACTTCTGTCAGTGAGGACAGAATTTCGCACAATGGAAGCCGAAAATATTGAATTATTAATGAATTTGATTCGAAATTATCCCGAATTATATTTAGTTGGCATGTTGATTACAAAATCCCCCAGAATCTGAAAGGACGATAGGGAGACTCAGATGACATTCTGAAACGACGCCCCCCCCCCCCCCCCCCCCCACCCCCCCCACCCCCCCCCCCCCCAAAACTCTGGTCAGTTTATAAAGATGCGCAGATATTTCGCTACCGCAATTATTTCGCAAAATTCGCAGCGCACCCCCCACGAATGTAGGTATTAAAAACTCTGGTCATTTATAAATCGAGAAAAACAGAATTTAAATTTTTTATTATCTACATATATATCTACTAGGATTCGAGAATGGATGGAAAGATTAAGAACCAGTTCTAATCGTGTACAGGATAACGCTTTCCATGTCCGCTAATTAAATATAATTTTCACTACTAGTTAAAATTGAAAAAATTGTCTTAGTCCAATTACCTATAGTCTGCACTTACTCACCCTTGATCAAACCTGCAAGTCCTTTTATTTCATCTTCCCATATCTACCGCCTTTCTTCCTATTCCAGTTTTTGGGTACCAACTCATAGTTTTACTCCACTTCAAGCTGTGTCCTGTCCATATCCACTTGTCCTAATACTCTTTGTAATGTCCGCTATCCGCTTTTGTTTCATAACTTCATTAAGATTTTCTGAATTTGTTAAGGCGTAAAGTGCGGAAACTAATTTTTTTTTCTCATTTTAGCACAAAATCGAGTGTGTAATTCACTTCGCAGCGCTTAAAGCGGTCGGCGAATCTGTAGACAAACCACTCGAATACTACCAAGCTAATATTACTGGTACCTGTACCTTGATTGAGGTAAGACAAAACACGATTTCTAGTAATATATAGTCACCACTTTGTATATTTTATATATTATATATTTATTATAATGCTAGTCACTAGTCGCTTCTAAGTTCTATGGCATTTTCGTCCACTTACACCGCATCTCCAGGGCTCGTAAAGCGAATACCTCGAATTTTATCTTAAGTTTCGGGTTCGTAGCGATATATCCAGCTTTCATCACCTATGACGATGTCAAATACAGCATTTGAGTAACCGCCGTTGAACTTATCTAACATTTGGCGACACCAGTCCATGCGAAGGTGTTTCTGGTCGTCGGTTAAAGTATGGGGAATCCATCTGGTACAAAGCTTCCTGACTTCCTAAATGTTATATATAAATAGTGGCACGAGATAGGGCTTCATAAAGAAATACTAATCGCAGCCTATCATAGCTTTGTTGTTGAGTAAGTCCACAATTTCACGTGTAACAAGAGTTTTAGATTTGCCGCCAATTCACAAAACCAAATGACAAATCAATGCAATATACTACATTAGGTTACCATAGAGTTCTAAAATATAAATTCAAAAATTGTTTTCATAAGCAATGTTTCTAACTGGCCAATTCTAAACATTTTCAGTGTTACCCACTAATTTTACCACAAGTTTATAATTTTTTGCCTCGTCAGATACATGTTTTTTTAAACCTTTTATTTGATAATGTGTCTTTATTAATTGGGATAATACACCTTTGCAGGGCAAATATTTATGTGCTCTTCAAAGTATTTATTTATTTCGTGCTCCTACAGATAACTTTTATATACCAAAATGAAATACATAATAAATTCAAACATTTACGAAACTTATGAAGGAAAAAAATCAATAAAAATTGTTTAAAAACATTTATTTAAGTAATACCTTCGGCTGTGTGATGGTGTGTATGTGTGGTTATTTAGCTTAGGATATACTTAGTACTCCTTTTAAGCATATTCCGATGTTCATATATATATATATATATTAGTCGAGGCTTAAATAGTGGTTGTTGAATGTCTGGAATACAAAACTGAGTTTTGGTTCAGGTAAAGGTTTCCCAGGAAAGATAGAAAATACTTTTTCCAATTAACCACCTAAGGAAGTATTTTATCTATAAGCCTAAAGTAATTTTTTTTGCAGGTTATGCGTAAATATAATGTACATAAACTGATATACAGTTCATCCTGTACGGTATATGGGGAACCGCAGAGGTTGCCTTTGGATGAGTCTCACCCAACCGGACAAGGTATATCCAGTCCGTACGGAAGGACCAAATATTTCTGTGAGGAGATTATGAAGGATCTATGCAATAGTGATCAGGTTTGTAGACTATTAACTGTTAAGAATATATTGTTTGCCCCGGGGAACAATTCGTGTATGCGGTGATGTTGTTTCGACTATGTATTTGCGTGTTGCTCCCACGAAAATGTAAGTGCGTGCTCCTATTTCACCATGCCTCCTGCTGATAGAGGACAAGTTTTTGTTTTTAATTTATGTTATTATTATTTATTACTAAGGATGTCATGTGGACATGGTGTAATGGTTCCTTACAAACGTTGTGTAAAACAAAAAATTGGAAATTAAAAAGAGTGGCGGAGAGTTTATTGCCAGTTCTTCTCTTCCGTTCTACGCCCTGATTTGAGAAAGTAAATGTAAAACTAGAAGTCTTTAATGTATACTTCTTTTTGACGTTCATAAGTGTACATTGTGCTACTATATACAAAAGGGTTTACTTTACCGCGTAAGAAATTCTTGGCAATAATAAAATAGTTTGGCTTTGTTCCACTCAGTTATGTTTCACAGCGAAAGAGGAAAACCTTTTTTGGTATTCAATTTAGTAGTTACACTGATTCATACAAATTTTCATTTATCTTATTACTAAAATCAGAAGATTATTATTAAAGAATGTGATTAATTTGTAATCAAGACATTACTCGATATTACTATCATGAAAAACGTGACTATTTTCTACAAAATTAATTAGTTGCTCAAATACGTCAATTTAAATAAGTTTCATTCAAAGCATCGATAAAGAAGTTTCCTTCAAAATGGAAATTAAAAAGGTAGTGGCGGAGAGTTTATGGCCAAAATTGTTGGCTTCTCTTCACGCATTTCTATGCCTTTTTGATTTGTAGATAGTAAATGTAAATCTGCCCCGCCCCCATAGTAAATGTTCATAAGTGTACATTGTGTTAACGCCCTAAATATACTTCAAAAATTACGTCACGTGACGTCGTCACATTTTTTCGTTACGCGCCATCTTTTTCTTGTCCTGCGATTTCGGATCAAGCTTATTGATTTGTTGCAAGATTTGTTATTTGTGAAGTTTGCCTACCTCTGAAAACTTCAGACTTACCGCAACGTACTGTTATTTATATTGGATAATTTTTTCACGTTATATTTAATAAATATTGCAGTATTATGTTTAGTTATAAATATAAATTATGCTTTTAAATTATTTATGTCAAAAACCGTGTAGTGCGTTCATAAAATGTATAAAATTTATATTAAAAACAAAAATATATACTTAATAACGATAACAATGATAGTAATAATTATATTACAATTATTAATGAAATTCTGTAATAATCTTAGTAATAAGGTAGAATGAAATAATTTTATTATTTGTATTCTATTTATTTATTCTATTCTATCTGTCTATGATAATAAAAGCCTTTTTTTTACAACTTTTTCTAAGTTAACTTTATTTAACCAATTTCTGTAAAGTTGCATATAGTAGATCATTTTTCGTAAAATAAGGTCATAAAGAAGTTTCACTTCTTACGTGTGTACACCAGTACACGCATACATTTTTTATTTCATAGTGTGACCAGGTGTCTCCAGATTGATTTTTTTTACTTGCTTCCTTGGCAAATCTATTAAAACTTCACTCCGCTGGCTTTGCGACCCAATAAGTGTCTTGGTCTCCGAAACGAGAAATTTCCAGCGCTGTGATGTGCCACCTCCAATTGCTGGTTTTCAGCTGCAGTATCTTCTATCTTCTCTCTCTTCTGGTCCTCCTATTAAACTTTATTCTAATTAGTAGAAAATAATGTTCTATAAAATGTAAAATCATCATATAGACTTATAACGATAACTAAAAAATTTTGCTACTACCCACATTTTCATTAGATTGTTTTGTTATTTTGATATTGTTTATCTCTTACAGAAATGGCAAATAATATCTCTCAGATATTTCAACCCAGTTGGAGCACACCCCAGTGGTCGGATTGGAGAAGACCCTGCCGGTATACCTAACAATTTGATGCCTTTTATATCACAGGTAACAGTTACTCTGATGATGAATTAGATGAAAAGTGCTGAGTTAATTTTGATAAGTTTTTCATTCATTAATTGAAAGTGAAATTATTGTTATTTATTTTATTAATATTCTATAGATTTTATTTCCTTCAAAGTAAACTTAGGTACATGTACATTATAAAAATTTTAAAATAAAAAAAAGCCGGGAATCGAACCTTATGTATTTGCATTGATCATTTTTAAACGTTTATAAAAAAAATTAAACCGACTTCGAAAAAGGTAAAATTTCGACGTACCTCTATTTCCAGGTTGCTGTAGGTCGGTTATCAGAATTGATGGTGTTTGGTGATGATTATCCCACTGTGGACGGGTCCGGGGTCCGAGATTATATTCATGTGCAGGATTTGGCTGTAGGCCATGTCAAGGCTATGAAGCTGTTCCAGAAGGATGGCTTCAGCGGATTTCGAGCTGTTAATTTAGGTTAGTTTTTTTTTTTTTAAATTATGGGTTGCCGGGTTCGTTATAGATAACCTGTTTTAAATTTTTTATTTTCAAATTGGCTAAGATTCCAAAGTTAATTTATATCAAATTTAAGAAACGCCCAATCATTATTAATTATAGCTTATGGTAAAAGTGGCTACGGCATTTGCTAACATATTGAAACAAATAAATAATTACCTCCGAATTTAGTTATTATGGAATGTTTTTTAAGTCCCAAAAGTTCTCGAGTCAATTTCCGAGAAAAGATTTGTTTGTCTCTGGCAATAATACTTGTCTTAACGCACTCAGAAATAATATCCTATTAAGGACAATATTACCTGTGCAATAAAGTATTTGAATTAACTTTTTCAGGTACCGGAACCGGATATTCCGTCCTCCAAATGATTTCCGCTTTCGAAGCGGCGTCCGGTCGTAAAATTCCGTATAAAATTGTCAATCGACGTGCTGGGGATATAGCTGCAAATTACGCGGATGTCTCGCTCGCACAAAGCCTTTTGGGCTGGAGCGCGACAAAGACAGTCGATGATATGTGTAGAGATACGTGGAATTGGCAGAGTCGCAACCCTCAAGGGTATAAATGTTAAATTAATGCAGACATAGAGAATAGACTAGGTCATAGTGGATTCTTAGCCAAGAGGGCGAACCACTATTTTGAAGTGGTAATGCAAAGTACTCGTTTAAAATAGTATCGCTTTCGAAACTACTTTTTATCATTATAAGAAAATAAGCAAGAATTAAAAAGAAGGATTTATTTATATCATTATCACTACTTGAGGTAGACATTTTTTTTAAAGTACAAAGTTATTACTGTTTTAATTTGGATTTAAAAAAAAGAATGCCTTTGACAAAAACTGGCTGGCAATAATTATTTCATACAACCAAACTCTTTGGTGATTAAAAAACAAACACTAAGCTTATTCCAAATTCAAATTACTTTTAAATTTTTATTTTATACTATTTTAGTCCCTTTACAGGGCTGTAGCCAACAGGTTCTTTTTGTGTAGATGTATTTATGTTTTTTGTATAAGCTATTTATGACCAGAGCTTATATTTTTTTTACTTATTTACCTTACTACCATTAAAACATTGAATACTATTAAACTTTTTGTATTAACGTTGGTAAAGTAAGTGTAGTGTTCACTGTATGTAGCGCAAGTAAATATGGTTGACATTCGACATACTTATTGCGCAGAAGTAAACAATAAGGTAATGACGGGCTACAATGTCGTTGGCTCTCCAGTCGCATTCCGTGGTCCCCGCGCGACAACACGAAATCATTTTTATCAAAGTTACGTGCCCGATGCATGATAGATACCTAAGAAATATAAATCATAATTGTAAATGGATCAAGTTGCGGGAGATCATATTCTAAAAATCTACGAATCGTTGAAATGACGACTCGTATTTTGAATATAGAATCCATCAAACTAAAGTTCTGTTTGTCTTTGCACACTTTCTATATGGCCCTGTCTCTTTCTTTCAGAAAAAGATAGAAAGAGACCGACATATTTATAAAATCCAGTGTATTCTCTATGTCTGAAATTGGTTTTATATGTACAAGATTAATATAGCTATTTCCATATAATCGAATAATAATGTTGTCTCGCTCACTCTCATATAAAAAACTAGGTGTCTCTTTCGTGTAGAATTCTAAACAGAAACAATTCTTTGCTTAAATAAATGGCCCGTATTCTGAAATATGACCCACCTCGAATCTAGTTTTAAGGACATTTTGTTAATATTTAAATTAATTTTGACGTATTGAGCGAGACTATAAATTATGTATTTTAGAAAATATTTTATTTATGACCAAAGATGTCCAAAGATTCATGGAATGTTATTTATTTTGCATTTATTTACTTATAATTATTATTATTATAATTCAAAGATTATATTGACTTTGTTCCTATAAGTTGCCATATTTATTTATTATAAGTAATATCGAAACGACTATTACTTGTTCATAACGTACTATAAACATTAATTAACATTTAGTGTTGCATTGCCTTTAGTTTTGAGGGTAGTTTGAGATACGTTTCTTAGATTACATCATCTAGCTATTTATCAATTTATAAGTTATTTACTTCTGCTTATTTACTATTTTATAATGTATGTAAAGGCGAAAATCTGATTATATAAAAGAGAGTTGTTTGGTAGTTTTTTGCCGTGATTGAATAATGAGGTAGTATATACAAACTTTTTTGTAAATTATGTACTTTTCATTAAAAAAAAACATATTATTTATTCACATATAGTAATACCACTTACCAGTTCCTTAATAGAAGGCGTGGGACAAAGAACTGGCAATACTACGTTGCTTTATTCTGTAACTTCTAACGTATATAAATTGCAGGTAGATTATCAGATTATCATTATGATGAATAATTTGTAAATATCAACCGTAAAATGTATTTCTGAGCATTTATCTATCATTCCTATTATTTCCATTTTCTTGAAATATTTATTTTGTTATTCGAATATTTTTAGTGGCTATTTTCAATAAATATATGTTACAAGTTTTTTGTTTTAATATATTACCCGAATTTGAATAAAATGTAATAACCTATTGGTAATACCAAAAACGTGTTTTTCCTATAACAAATACTACAAATACAAGTAATTTTACATAAGCTAAAATTAAAATATACAAAATAGACGTTATGAACTTGCTGATTATTTAAAAAACAACCGTTTTCTTAGTTCTCCAACAATGACAACTAGGAACTTTTTTCAAAGAAACTGAAAAATAATGATCACAAAGAAAGTTGACGATCATTTAAATTAAGGTGCAAGTGCGGATTTAGAAGACGCGTTTTTTTTTAAATGCTATGGACCCTCGAATCCAAGTTAGTTGTAGAAAAGAAATATTTAAATAATATAGATTTTCGTATCGGATTTTTTAATTTGGACCGATAATTATCTTTTTAATATTGATAAATAACCAATGTATAATAATTAATAAATCAGAAAAAAAATTGATACTGAGATTTAAATTCATTTTAACACATAAACAATATGTTTTCGATACCTTTGGGTTCGTTTGTCCTATAAACCGAAACTCGACTTTAGAAGAGACAAAAACTTATTGTTTTGGAAAAAAAAATAACGTTGTTTAAGAAGTTAGACAAAAGTATGGTTACTTTGAACATTGGAAATATGGTTACGATGATCTTGAGTTAAAATCGCTGCACAACTGACGTTCCGTAAGTGAAGTGATACCTACTGCCGCCCATGGAGACTTACATTGCCAGAAGGCTCGCAAGTACGTTGCTGGCCTTTTAAGAATAGGTGCGCCCCCAAACGAAAATTCCCCCCTTTTTGGGGAGCTTTCCCCAAACCCGGCCGAAAAAAAAGCCAAAACACCCCCCCCCCGGCAGGCACCAACCTTCCTGTTCTTGAGAGGAGAAAAGGATAGAATTTTTTTTATTTTTCTGTGGGGGGGGAGGGAGGAAAGAATTTTTTTTGTTTGTTCGAAGACAAAATAAAAAAATTTTAACCTTTTTTTATTTTTTTTTTTTTTTTTTCCCCTCCTATTTTTTTTGTGGTTTTTTTAAGAAAAAAAAAACAAGCAAAAAACCACCCCCAACCCCCCCACCACAAAACACCCCCCCCCCCCCCCCCCCCCCCCCCCCCCCCATTTTTTTTAATTTTTTTTAAATTTTTTTTTTTTTAAAAAAAAAAAAAAAAAAAAAAAAACTCTTGGTTTTTTCCCCCCAAATTTTTTTTTTTTTTTTTTTTAAAAAAAATTTAAAAAAATTTTTTCCCCTTCCCCCCTTTTTTTTTTTTTTTTACAATCCCACCCCCCCCCCCCTTATTCCCCCAAACCCCTTCCCCCCCCCCCCCCCCCCCCCCCCCCCCCCCCCCCCCTTTTTTTTTTTTTTTTTTTTTTTTTTTTTTTTTTTTTTTTTTTTTTTTCTTTTATTTTTGAAATAGATTATTTTATTCTGAACACGGTGGTAATAGGGTTGTCTGCGAACCCTAAGTCGAACTTACCCTACTTTAGAAATATGGGCAGTTTTCCATCATAAAAAAAGTGTCGCGTGCAATAAATAATTGCCAAATTGAAAAAAAAAAAAAATCTACCATGCAATTATAAAATACTTCGACGGGAGAAATGGAAATCAATTGAAACTTTTGGAAAATTTAAACCCCAAAAAAATTAATTTTTTTCATCAACGTTCATGCTATTTTTATTTGACTTGATCAGATTTTGGTTAAGATCGCGTTTAATTTGAAAAATCAAGTCTGGCTTGGTATGAGATTAAAGTATTGTCTTATGTTTAGAGCGTATTCAGAATACGCATATTCTATTCTTTCACTGATTTTTATACGGATTTATTGTTATACTTATCCAATTTAATGTACGTACGTTGTTTGTATTGTAAAAAATTAAAAATAATTTTTTTAATTATTCAGCATCCGAGTCTAGAAACCATACGGAAACTACGATCTTCAGCTAGTCATTGATGGTTTTAAATATTATTAAGAACCGTCCGCAGTTCAGGCTAATTTCGCATTTTTGTTCCCTTTTTTTAACCTAGATTTCAAAATTAATATATATATATTTAATATATATATATATATATATATATTATATTTTAATATAGAAATATAGGAAGATGTATTAGCTAAGATAATTTTAAATCAAAGAATCTAGCACTATACAGCCCCCCCCCCCCCCAGGAGGGTTTTGAACCGAATGGCCATCATCACGGGAAAAAGTAATATTATTTGCGGTTTGGGGCAGAAAGAATATGACACAAAGCCCTCTTAATAAAGTCGTTGCGTTTGCTCTATACCGTCTTAGTAACTATCGACATTTTATTTAGCAAAACCGGCATACATACATACATTTTTACATAGAACATTATTGAATGTTCTATGTAAAAATGTAGCATATGCCTATTACTTCTATCGCAATAATTATTGAGATTAATACATTTAGCTTTGATTTTTATAAATTATAACTAAACGGATTAACTAACTTTCAGGTAAAATAGACCGTAGAAATATAGCGCCCAGTAAGAAGCGGCTCTTCTATTTCCAATGCCGATACCAACTTTCATATTGAGTTTTTTAGATTAATAGGTAAACGGATGTAAAGTTTGGATAGCGTGGTACAAGATCTGAATCTTCTCCTTTTAGTGCCTCTTCAGGTTGTCCGTCAGTCTCTTGAAGCGTGTCTTGTCCTGTGCCGGATGCAACTCTTCCTTCTACGAACATGCCGTACCCTGGATTGCCCATTATAATTAATTGAAGGTGGTAGAGGTCATGGCGCAACACGTGGCCCATGTGCGCAACTTTCCGTTGTTTAATATCTCAATAATGACTGGATCGCTGTCACTTTTGGAACAGCTATATATAGATATTATAAGCGTACAGTTCCACATACTTCTTTTGGTCGGCGGCTGAAATTGGAACTACCGTCGGCATTTTGAAATGTTAGACAAATTTCTAGGTACGTACAATAAATAATTTGAATATCTACCAAAATCGAATAAAAATCAAACTAAAATGTATTTATTTTTATTCATTGTATTATTAATTACAATGAAAATGTTTTAATTATCAAACGGTTTTGATTGCTAGGTATCTTAAAAGATATTATATGAATAGTACAGGTAACAAAAATTGTTTCTAAGTTTGTGTCTCATTTATTGCGTTTTTTAGATACTATAGGTACATTGTTTTATTAAGACATTTCAATAAATTATTAAGCCTGCATGTCTATATAATCTCCTTATAATGGTTAATTTTTATTTACTGGCAATACTAATATCCATGACAGCGACGCTCTTACCGGCCAAGAAAAGTATGTGGCACTGTACTTTGAGGTGACGTAATGATTTTTTTATATAATATGTAATCTCGTTTACTTTGTTTTGTAGTTGAAATCCCAGAATCAGGTAATAAATAAAAACAAACATTATTTTCATTTTATTATAATCTAAAATTACAAATCTTTCATTACAACTATTCGACGTGTTCATAATCGCTTTCATACTCTGTCTAAATTACAGTTTTACATTTATACAACAACTATTTTAACAAGGCAAGGGAATGAAATAAAAGCAATAAAATACTAGTGTTAAGAAATCGTTATTACCGATTTCAGTAACTCAAGCCCTTTTATATTGGATACACGAGAAACCGACCGCCATTCTAAAACGTAAATACACATTGAATGTCCTCTGTCATTTTGACAGCTCGCGAGACGAAATTTCGACGTGACGTTTTAGAATACGAGCCCTTTAACATTGAACTCTATGGACACGATTTGTACTAAGTAAAAATACAGTTCATCGCAGTGACGAGAAGTATAAAAATAAAAACTTAAAGTAAAGACGTAGTTAATATTACATAGTCTATCAAGAACTATAGACAACTGTCAAACACATATTGTGTGTGTGTTACGAATAAACAACTCAATCAGGCGATTGCAAATTCGTACAGTATTAGTTATTTCCATACGAATTAAACTAAAATTAATTGATTGCCGAGTTATTTAAAAACCAATATGATATGTGCTGAAATAGCATGAAAAAAGTCAATATTAGGTACTGTTAGAGTCAAGCTGGAATTAATAAAGCGTACTGATCCCTCAAATTTTATGAGTGATATCAGTATCAACGTTTTAACTTGCCTCAGGTAAGCATGCGTCCAGTAAATTCTTAGCGTAGAAGGACTTTGGATAAAGTTCTGAGGCTTAGTATGACTCAGTATTAACTTAAGAGAATCAAAATGCTAAGTCTGAGATTACATTGAGCAAGCAAACAACCTAACTCTAGCGCTGCTAGCGCGCTAGCGCTTGAACGCTTTATAAATTTCAGCCTTTCTAGTTCAGATGGGTTAGAACACAAAGTTCTGGTTGTTTTAAACGGCATCTTATTATTTAAATTAACAATTTGCAAACACTAACTACGCCTGAGAAAATAATATCCCGATGGACTTAATCTTAAACAATTACTAAAAGGCACAGACAAGTTAGAGGTCGAATTGTCATCTGTCAGATGACTGATTTTGTCAGACTCCGCTCCGAAACTTGTCTTTGAATTTTAGATTTAGAAAGGGATTCGTTTAAATTTGACTTAAAAGTTAATAAATTGCCTCCGCAATTATTATGCATGTTGTTGACAACACTTATTCTAAAGCAGAATTAAGGCTCGGTGTACACTTTTCTGGTTTAATGAAAACGGTCCAATCCTCGGTTTGATTTGTATAAAAAAAATCGATAAGAAAAGGGACTTTTTGTCTTGTGATTTAAACTATAAACTATAATATTTAGCCATCAATACTTCGAAAAGTCAATTACCTTTTGCTTACGTAAGATCTGTAAATGTCAAATTCGATACAATTAGTGTCAATCGCAAATGACGTTTTGCCTGATAGTCTATAGCGTATAGCAACATTGCAAATGACAGTGACAGGGCCATGTATTAAACCAGAATAGTGAATTCCACCAAATTAAGGCAACCATCGGTACAGTGTCAGCGCGCCTCACGATGTGAATATTCTACACTTTGGTTGCGGGTAACTCATTCTAAGGCTTCGGCTAACATTAAGAGCTCTAGGCAAGTGTTTATGGTTTTTAAACAAACGTTTCATTTAAACCATATTACTTGATTTATTATACCTGAATCTTATCGGAAAAATTAAATGAATAAGTTTGGTGCAATTACCATGTAGTTTTTGATTTACAAGAATTTATACAATATCTCACCGAAAAGATTTGTACTTACAATATCCATGAACTGTCAATATTTAACATTGACGTTGACATTCGAAATGATCGGTCCGGAATGAATACTAGTAACTTCACACTTGCCCACAGACTTTACCAATCATTGAATACAAAAACGGTAATGTTTACGAAAATATTTTTACATTTAAGTTAGCATTGATGGAACGTAATTCGAGACACCTTATTCACAAAAAGAAATAATTCGACCAAATTAAAAATTCCTTATTGCTATGGCAATGCGAAATGGTATGATTTGTAAATGGTAAATCTTCATCCGGGAACTACTTTTAGCTGTCAAAACTATTCATAGAAAAAAGTGATTTGACAGATTGGGTATTAGATTAGAAAATTGAGTTTAGAATACAGGCCCTAGTGAAACTATCTAGTTTGTAACTGGGCTGTAACCACCAAATATAGAAACTATGATGGTTCAAAACAACAAAAATTTGTATTCGTGATCAAAATAGAAGAAAAAAAACTATTTTTAAGAACTGTCAAAGCACATTATCCCTGAAGCCTTGACATATTTGACAGGTTGAAATAGACAAACTGTGGCCAGTATGGAATTGACATTTATATGAGATGGTGTCATCTACTGTTTGTGGTGTTTCATACAAATCTATTACGCAACATTTAATACTTGACAGTCATAAAAAGGCTTGCTTGCAAGCATTAAAGTATTACGCAATGTCTAATGCCCCTTTCCCCCATGTACCGCGCCATAACGTTTTTCGTCACTATTTTCACCTAAAAGTCACTCACTTTACGGCGTTAAGTGCCGGAGAGTAATATTAAAAACAATAACCCGTAGTTCAAAACCCCCCTACCCGTAACGCATTGTAACGTTTTACAAGACCCCCCCCAATCCCCCCGTAAGTCAATTACGTAATACTTGAACGCTCCACTATCAAACTTGTTCAGATAAAACATATTTTGACAGTTCTTAAACTTAATTTCCTTGGCGTTTGCGACTGGATTTTAAATATCTATCTATGGGTAACTTTTCTAGACCCGACAATGTTTTATACCATCACGCACCACCGATTTAATTAAATATTCACAATAATCTGTGCAAAAATAACTTTTCTATTTAAACATTCTCACAGCTTTATTGCTAGCCTGGGGAATATTGGTGTAACATCGATGAACACTTGCTAAATTTCGTTTTTGACACAATTCTATAAAAATATATTTGTCTTAAGTAGAAAATAAAAATTTAATTCTCTAAACTCCATGAATAGACTTCACAAACATTTCGAGTATAGAAATGTTTATATACGGTTTTTTGGTTATATATATCTGAATGAACACAGTACAATTTATGTGGTCAAGAAATTAGCAAGTGTCCACGCACAGATTTGTGTTTATGTGTATGTGTTAGCCTTCCCGCTTGATGCTGGGCATCTGTGGAGGCGGCTCAGCTAAACCTTTGACCTGTAATGAATTTCAGATAACATTATTCCCAAATGGCTTCAGCGGGCGACTCATTGCTGAGGTCGTAGGTTCGAACCCCGGATGTGCACAAAAACAATATTAAAACAGCAATTTTTCAATACTGCACTTAAATTTTTGTTTTTGAAAATTGTCAGTCAAAATAGGCTTTCATGTCCAGAAAAAATAAATTATTGCGGAATCAAATATAAATGTTTATGTTATAAAAAAATGTCTGAACAGAACTTGCAACCACTAATTTCAGCTCAGACTACGGACTTTACCACCGTCAGTTAAACTATACGGTGTGTATAAAGCTATTTAAGAATATGAAAAGTAAAGAGTTATTAATCTGTAGAAAACATGAATTAATTTAAAAAAATAGGTTATTAATTAAATAATTAAAGTATTTAAAAAAAAAAAACATCACTAAAAATATATACGCCAAAACGGTCAAATATTAGTCCAATGGAGTATATTACAATCGGAGACTGTTTTTGATCAAAATATAATGTTAGAAGAGTAAGCCTAGTGGCTTCAAGCGTGAGATTCTCATCCGAGGAGGCCCAAAAAAAAGTCGACGGCTTGTGTCAGGCACAGGATCTGATATACTTGCCTATTAGATTGACAAATGATCAAGAAACAGATACAGAAATCTGAGGCCCAGAACCTGAAAAGGTTGTAGTATATGTGCAATTTAAGTATATTTATCAAATGTGTCTATATTATTAATAAATACAAGACAAATTAATGATTTATAAGTCATGTCATCCATTTTTTTATACAGATTCCTTTAAACAGCTCCCAGTGAATTTTACGTATTCTTATTGAAATAAATAGCAGCTAATAGAATGCTTACCTTAAGCCTCGCGGCTGTCTTAAGGAAGGCGGGCAATTGTTCCTGCGACACATTGACCTCACCCGCATACATAAACTCTAGTATCGCTTGGAGATGGAGATACGAAACATCCTTCAGTATTATAATTGGATGCTTTGATGGATTCTCCTGGAAATGTTAATAATTCCTAGTTTTAAGATATTTTAACTTGGTTTAACAACGCACCTATTAAAATACAGTCAAAACCGTTTACGACGACATCGTTTAGAACATACCGGTTATATTGACCAAAATCAAAGGTCCCGGCTGAATTCTATTGTATTAGGCTCTTAATAACGTCATCGGCTGTTACGACCATCGGTTTTTACTACCAAATATGAGTAGTCCCTTCGATGTCGTTATAAAAAATTTTGAAGGTATCAAGGTTGCGATGAGTGCCCTTTTTGGGCGTTCCGTAGGCTCGTTTGGCCCCATATGCTATGATAAAAATATCACACGCAATGCAAAATGTTCTAAAAACAAATGGTGATTTTCACCAGTATAATACTCGAAACAGAACCAACCAGGCTCCAGAAGAAAAATCACTTCTTATATGGAATTGTATTCGTTCTGTAATATCTGTAATTGTTTAACATATCTAAAATGATTACAAATGCGTATCCTTTGTTATTGGTATATTCACAAAACTGTAGATTTATTCAAAACAAAAATGACTGTAATAATTTCCCATTATTGATATGAAAACATGTATAGTTGAGACACAACATGTATGGGAAAACAAATATGTCTTGAATCATACTAAATCTAGGAATTATTGATAAAGCGAGTTACTAGTTTCATTAACCCACCCAAAAATACACACGTCTGACAAGCCCATAGTATAATTTGGACCCTTATTGCTCATTAATAAACTAGCAAAACTTATAAACAATTGTATATTCATAGTAGATTCAGCTATGCAAACTTTAGTCAGTTTTCTCTTTAGCTATCTCTATAATAACTAGTAGCTATTGAATGTATGCAATATTTAATCATAAGTATAGTATAATTATAATGCTCACCTCTAATAAACTTTTAAAATAAGGACTACACGCAGACAGGACCATTTTGTGGGCTTTGCATGTTTGTCCCTCGCAAGCTAGTGTTACCTAAAACATATTTTAATTTGCAATAGACACTTTTATATATTTATGAATTGCCAGTTTTGTGGCTCAGAGTGGTCAGAAGCTTACCTGATTTAATTTTAAACATATACCTGATAAAACAAAATTTGCTCAAAAATATAAGAATCATCTGCTCCCCTGAACACAGGATTCATTATATTCCTAATGTATATATTTCACAAAAGAATTTGTTCTGTATGAAGATGAGATTTTAGATAAATTTTAGTACTTTTGAACAATTTCTTCTCAGAGAATATATAGGTTAAACTTAAGGTTTGATCTTAATTTGATTTTCTTGGTTCTTACTTTCTACTAAACATATCATGAATAATATATAATGTCAAAACATTATGTTAAAACTCTAATTGTAAAATAAATGTTTTAATTGCAATCAAAATGAGTATGAATTCCAAGAAACACAATCAAGAAATCAGAGAAATGGGTAAAATTTATGAAAATAGGACAGAAAGTGACAGGTTCAATTCTACTGATTGATTACAGGAAATAAAGTTACAAAAGTTGAAAGTATTCCGTTACAAATTGCAAAATATTAAAGCATTATTATATTTGTATTTTGTTCACCCGGCTATCTTAAATGTAGTGAAATATTAACTGCGTGGTAAATAATAATTGCTTTGAGGCAGAGGCCTTGATATGAGTGAATAGCAGCTATGTTGTGTGCATTTAAATGCTAGGACAACAATGAAAGTAAAATAACATTGTGTGAATTCTATTAATAATTTTGAGAGTACAATCTAAGTCAAGGTAAATAAAAAGTTGACTTACATCAGTAAAGCTTTTCTCGTCTCGTAAATGCCTAAACGATGTCACCATATTTGTTTGGAAATCGTTCCATTTTAGGAAAAATTGTTGGTCCCCCATATTGATTTCGTATTTTCTAAATTACTGCAAAATTAGAAATAGTTATAGCTAAAAATAACATTAGCTTTAAGTTTTAACGACTGTTAGGCCGTACACAAATACAGATGTTATTTAATACATTAAATATTCAACGGAAACATAAAATGAACATGATAATCGGTGCAGTATTTCTACGTCACTAATAGAAATGCATTTCTGATTTCATAGGAAATAAGTATAGCTTTTCAAAAGATAAATACAAATTTATCACACGTTTCCTTACCGTAAGAATTATTAGCTTTGAAATGTTTATATATCCAAGGGCGACACGTAACCTTTCACAATTACCACCTCAACTTAAACAACATAAACGATTGCATCTGAAAATAAAGACGCCGTCTGGCATAAATTAGCGACTTCTTTCTATTTCTTCAAATTCCTTCAAATCTTCAGTCATCTATTTTGTGTTGCCATTTTATTATTATAAATTAAATATTTGTTATAAGCTAGGTTTATAAAAATAGTATTTATTTTAAGTATTATTTTTAAAAATAAATTTAATATTAATATAAGTTAAAATTATTAACTTATTAAAAGATAGATAAAGAATGATGAAGAAATAACCACAGATACTTTTCAAATGTAGATCTGTATGCTGAACAGCGACATCTAGTGTTCAGTAGCATAATTTTGTTATGTCCCACAAATTTACATTAATTATTGCTTTTGCGGAAGTTAAGCTAGGGATACACATGCCCGTAGCTTGCACACTAGCATACCAGCTCCTTGCAAGTGCCAGCTACAGTCATGTGTATTCACTAACTGGCATGTCTGTAACTGGAAGCTAGCTAGTTGCAAGTAGCTAGCACAACATTTGATTTTCTTGCATGCCCGTTGAGGGAGGGGCGCGGGGGGACTGCTAACCTGGCACGTGTGAACAGACGCGACAGCCAGTGCATGCCAGTAGCCGACTCGTTGTGTGAATCTCTTACCCAAACCCGTCTTCGTTTTTTCTTTTTATCTCTCATTAATTTAGCTACACATTCAATTGCTAGTAACAACACAATTTTGATAAGTTCACTTCGATTGTTATCCATGTTTAGCGCGCAAGAATAGGTAGGTACGAAATACTCTCACGAACTGTCCTGTGTATACGCGATGGTAATACTGGCATGCAAGGGCACAGTATGCATGCCAGTATTACTTGCAAATGTATCCGCAGTGTGCCAGTTACTCGTTCATGCCAGTAACTTTCATACCATCTACTTTCCCGATTTACTGGCATGTGTTTCCCCAGCCTTATTCAATTCGATAGAAATTGTATTTAATTCAATACTGAACAAATATTACGTAATATGCCGACTTATAGCTATAACAAATATTAATTATAGCTATACTAGGAGCGCTTGAGATTAATTTTGCCACGATATTTTAGTCAGTTAAGTTATTGTGAAGTAAGCAAGTTTGAAAAATTTATTATAGTCAATTTTTAACGCTTACGTTGAGCGTATATATAAAATACGAAACCCTCGTAATTTAGTACACGTTACTGTTATTTTGAATATACTAGAGAATTATTTGACTTCGTCCGATTGTATTGTACTTATAAATTATAAAATTAAGCGTTAATCTGCATCTACATACATAGCTAAATTGGATCAAAATTTAAGATTATTGTTTTCCTTGTCCAATTAATTTGTCATTGAACTTAGTTCAACTGTGAATGAATAGTTTTTCAAGGGATCAATTATTATAATGAGAAAATGATACAAACAACTAAAGCAATACATCTTTATTGTATTATAAATCATAATGTATTTCACAAAACGTCTTAAAAACACTCATATTGCATGAAGAAAGAGAGGCAAAGTGAATTATAGTAAATACGCTTACATAATTAAGTATATAATATTGAATATGTCATGCATCTTGTATATGTTTAACTAGCTACATACTAGGTAATAGTAAATATTAAACACACTACTATCCCAAGGCCAAGCGGTGTTGCCAAAATTCCTTAAATTTACCCTTAATATACGAGATTATTCTAACACATAACATTTAATTATCGGAACATTATCGAATACTAAATTTAACAGAATAAAAATAAATTACATTATCTATAATTGACAGTAAGCAGGATTGTCATTAATTAAAATTAAAGTGACAATTACATAAACGGATATCATTTTGACATTGAATAAGTACACAGATTATTATTGCTTAACTCTTTGAAGCGAAACACAGAAATATATTAATAATTATTTCTTAAACACTACGCTCATAGCTTAGATAATTTTCTGTATATTTGGTATATTATATGCGTTTAATATATTACAAAGCATTTTGGACTTAGGTATATTCTAGCGTATGATTCGTCGATCCACGAAGGAGACTGAAATCCCTAAAACTAAATTATAATTTAAAACTATCGAGTTTTTAACCCACCTAATAATATTGCTGCACCAAAATACTTATTTACTATACAAAAATTAAAAAAATAAATCTTTCAATAACAAAGTAACGAAAAGTTAAAAATTGTCAAAAACATTACTGATGGTTTAAAGTCCACCGAAACTTTGGTTACACAATTATAATAAACACGAGATCCTAACTTCTTAAATAGTTTTAGTCTTTGTTTTAAAAGAAATGCCATAAATTTGAGCAAAATAAAGTTCACTTATTATAAACATTACCGGTTCGCGAACAAAAACCCCGCACAATAGAAACCATAGACCATATAGAACTACCACTAAAACACGGCTACATTATATAATAATTATTTACATTCTGAAAGTAAAGAACGTAGAAAATTACGGGGTTTTGGTAAATCGCCGTAGGAACTTACGCTAGAATGGAAAAAGATAGAAAATATTATTAATTAAGACTACATTCCTTAACTCTACTCATTGGTAGGTTGGTTAAGAGTTACGCTTATTCGAAACTGTTTGGTAAGCACAATTAATGACTGACTAGACAGATTTGGGCTTGCAGAATAGGTTGGGAAATGAAGAGAGACGACTAGATGGAAATGCAAACGTGTTAGTGTTACTTAAATTTTATAATGTACTTCAAAACTGGCACAACTTCGTAACCCAAGGCATTGAGGACGGTATAGATTATATAAGGCATGTAAAGGCACCCGAAGCGATATTTACGCGGTAGATGGCGTTGAATCGATGTCACTCGTTCGTTGTTTAAAGCATAAGAAATCTAAACGTGTATAATACAGGAATCCTCTTATTCTTATCACACTTATTTGCAAATAAATGAACGTGTTTTTTTTATGTTTAAGAGGACACGATGCCGCTACTCGCCACTAGGTGGCGCTGTACTCAAGTTGATTTTTAGTCCTCGCGGGGCCAGAATGAGCCTGGCTGGTGTGACGAGGACTAAAGCGTACTCTCATTTGTTGACTCCCAGGAATTTTGCAGCTTCGTCGGCGGATGAGAGAAGTTTATTGATGATGGTCTTGTCCGGAATGCCCAGAAGCTTACCGATGAGGTCGCTCCCGTTTTCGCCTTCGTTTTCCTCGGAGGAGTACTTCCGGGACATGTCCAGTTTGATTTTCTTATCGTAGGGCAGGGAAGGGGGTGAGTTGTTGTTGTTTACGTTGTTTGGGATCTCGTTTCCGGAGCCATCGTCGTCTTGGTAACGGTAACTAAAATGAAAAGTACTATTAAATTCATACTTATTGAAAATTTGAACTTGTGAGACAGATCACTATGAAGTTTAGCATTATTGCCCGATATAAAATATTTTTTATGCGCAAAAACAATTCATATTAGTTTTTAAAAATAATCAAAATTATTAATGCATGAAAATCACCACGAAAATAAACGAAATTTTTAAATAGTTTTAATATATACATTAAATACGGATCTTGTTAGTTTTCTGTTGACGTCCAAATTAATAAAAATACAGTACTTACCCATTAGAGGCATCGATCGGTGTATCAGGTGGGGTGGTCTCTTCGTCATCGGTCGCCTCTTCGCGATGCTTCTTGCGGTGACGCAGCATGCTGTGCTTGAGGGTGAAGCGGCGCCTGCAGAGGTCGCAGGCGAAAGGTCGTTCCCCGGAGTGTGTGCGCATATGTCTGCGCAAATCCTCAGCAGACCAGAAACGACGCACGCAGAATGCGCATACCACCTGAAAAAATTATAGCTATATTGTTAAGGCATGTAAATATATAAAATAGCTTGAGTTCTGCTTATGTTATATTCACAAATATTTATGAAATTTAAAAGTATAAGGAAGAACTGTCATGTTTTAGTTAATAAAAGCTGTATAGTATCTTCAACATACCTTTCTGTTGGCATGGTCTGGAAACTTTCCCCTATCATCATCATCAGCGCTTTCGCTTCTATCGCTGGCCGCATCTAAGGCACCCTTTGACACCAACTGCTCGTACTCCACCGTGTGGTTCGATGACAGATGCCCCAAAGCCCCATTCCGATCACCAAAAGCAGCTTCACACAGGTGGCATTTGAATACCAGCCCGACATCCGATTCTTCCTCTGGCAATAGCGATGGAGGCGATTCTCCGCTACCATGGCGTGAAGACATATGCTTCTTCAACGTCTCCATGGAGGAAAATGTGCTGGTAGGACAGGTGGCACATTTGAATGGTCTTTCGGGCACTGCTCTGGTGTCATTCGGCGTTGGGAGTGTGACAGGAATTGGTTCCGCCAAAATAGCCTTAGCCGAGCCTCCGTGTTTTCGCAATAAGTGCCGATCGCAGTTGGATTTAGTTGTGAAGAGGAGAGGACAGTGGGGACATTTGAACGGCTTTTGGCCCGTGTGGGTGAGGACGTGTCGACGGAGGGAAGATGACCAGGGGAATTTGCGATGGCAGTAGGGACAAGAGACTCGGTTTGGCGCGAGACTGTAGGCTGATTTTTTCTTTGGTGGCAGGTTTGTGTCGGACTCCGATCTGGAATTAATAATACATTATAAGTATATCTAGATTATTTTGTATTTGATTTATTAGTGTATGTATTATTAATAACTTTGTGAGTTGACAGCTTTTAAGTTGTATCTATAATGAATACTTACTTGTTTTCATCGCTTCCAGAGTTATTGCCCTCACTGGTAGAAGCAACCAGACCTTCTTCATCCTCTTCTTCATCAGAACGCGTTGGAACTACTGCCACATCTTGACTTGACGGGATACCATCTGTTTTCTCCGAAGGTATAGGTAAGGGCTTGTTAATAAGGCTTCCAGCTATTTTAAGATCGAAATCTTTGTTAATTTCTTGCTGCCGCGTCGCCATTAGTATTTCAGCGGCAGCACGATGCGCAGCGGAATGTTCATCTGACTTATCATCCGGTTCCTCATCAATAACTAAAGCGTCCTCCTCGTCTTCTTCGTTATCAGCAACTTCGTCGGAGTCTCTTCTTATGGGGGAGCGGTCTAGTTGTGTTGGTCTTTCAAGGTGTCTAGCCAAAAGGGCGTACTTCACGCGATCAGCTAGATTTTCAGAACCAGGATACGGTGGTGGCGCTCTCGGCGTTGGCCGTCTTACACTCCAGTGTTGCGGATGTTGTTGTTTGACGTGACGTTCCATGTTTGAGCGCAATGTGAAGCGAGCGGAGCACTGTGAGCATGAGAATGGGCGTTCAGTGCGGTATCTACGTTGTTTTTGCTTAGGCATTAGAATGCCATTCTTTATAACCATTTTAACGGGATCATTTTGTGGCACACTGTTATGTTGCGGAGATTCAGGGTGGGGAGGGGGTGTAGGCGTTGTGGACAGTTGCAAAGGCTTCTGGTCTTCTTCCTCTGGCTCTTGTTTAGGCTGAATTTCTTGCTCCGTCGAAACGAGTCTTCCGCCAGACATGCTTAAGCCACGAATTATCTCTTTTTGAATACGCTGTTTTATTTCGGCAAGTTCTTGTGAATCAGTTGGGTTGGGAAAGATAGAAGATTGAAGAAAATAAGGGTTTAAAGGGAATGATGGTGGCAAAGGCAGTCCAGGCAAGCCGGGTACTGCACCAGCGTATAATTGAGAGATCTGCGAGGCATAGTAGGCTGGATCTAACTTCGGTAGAGCGGTTTCAAAGAGTCTTTGCTGAGCCAAAAGGAACCTTGTCTTCTCAAAGGCAGCAGCAGTGGCCGCAGCCGTGGAATCAAACGAAGGCCGCGGTTGAACTTTAGGCTCGTCGTCATCAGCATCTCGTTTCTTCTTGCTTAGGTCAAGGACATCGCAACTGTTGTTGTCACTTGTACTCAAGTCAACAGGAGTTTCTTCATTGTAAATTTCTGATTGTATTTCGTTAGCCTTAAATGTAACATCAGGTGTTCTGAATTCCGGTATTTGTGTCAGTTGACCGATACCTTTCACTTTAATTCTTGGCAATGTTTGATCGCATTCTCTAGGTGTTAGCGTTGGTGTTTCAGGCAGAGATTTTACTAATGAAGTCACCGGGTGCCTGTCAGCGATAAATGTTGGAGAGTAGTGCGTTAAAGGAGTATCACGACCTGTGGAGTCGGTGCGCCTTTCAATATCAGGTGTATGGAATGCAAGAGACCTTTTCACTTCTTCACGTGCAAGCTTCGAATTAACTTCGTCATTATTTGGATCTTCTGAAGGGTGGTATATGATAGACCGCTTCACGTCTTCGCGTGTAACCTTGGCATGGCGGTTTCGCAGGTGTCTTTCACAATTTGCTTTAGTTGTGAAGGCATAGTTACAGACGGCACATTCATATGGTCTGTCACCGTTATGTGTCCGCATATGGCGTACTAAAGCTGCTTTATCGAGAGACGCATGAGGACACATATTGCACTGATAAGGACCAGGACCAGTTCCGCTTAAGTGAACTCTGTTATGACCCTTCAAGGCTCTAAGATTTGGAAACTTAGCAGGACATAAGCGACAAGGAAATTCTCCTCGAAGTTTCATACGCCTGAACTCAGCGGCAAAATTATCTTGAGTTTCTTCTGGTTCCCGTTCTTTTGATGCGGTATCTGGGGGAGTGAGTACAGAGCTCTCCAACGCCACTCTTGTTCCTGTTAATCTTTCTAAAAGACTACTTGCAGATGTGACATTTAATATGGATTGAATATCAGCCAAATCCCTTGCAGCATCAATGTGTCTAATGCCATTGGCTAAATGTGCGTCTTCGAACTTAGGAGTAAATCTCTCCATAGGCGGTGTTAAGGTTCCAGGAATACCAAAGGATCTATTTCTTAGATCTAATTTAGCAAAAAAGTCCTCCCGACGGTCTCTCTCTGGACTGGGGATTCTGGTAGACAAGCATGTTTTTCGATGTATATCCAAAACTTGTAAACAAGGGAAATCTCTGGAGCAAAATTCGCATCTATACAGATTGCGTTCACCAATGTTTCTATTAATATCGGAGAACTTTTTATTAGCAAAATCGCCAAAGCTATACTCATCATAGTTCGTCTTAGCTTCGTCGCCATGAGCGGTGAATCGGTGGATGTCAAAGGCGTTCAGGGAATCAAAGCGTTGAACGCATTTTGGGCATTCAAAGCGCGCTGTCCTCTTATCTAGAGGCATGGGCGATGGTGAAGACGAAGCTGCCCTCTTGCGAGCTCTTCGGCAATCCTCTTCATCGCTTCTGTCCGAGCGGTTATCACTGTCTATACTCATGGTTCTCGTGGTCCGTGTTTCGATCTTCATTTCATCAGCATCAAATTTTGCTTCACTGATGACTTCTGCTTTGATTTCTGTAACAACAAACGAGCCTTTTACAATTGATGTTCAATGTTTGAATACCGCGGGCGGCTTTCATTTTCCTATTCCAAGAAAAGTTGACAATAGATGAGTCAGTCGATTCTGACGAATGTATTAGAACAGAGTTTATTGTTATGGTAGTTCCTGTTATCGTTTAATAGATTAAAAATCGACCTGGTACGGTGAGAGGTTTGGATCAATAATTATTAATAAGGTTAAATTTAGCGCGTTTAGTTAAGAATGCTTGAAGCGTGAATCATGGGACCTATTGTCACAAATACGGCAAGGGACACGTCGTTTGAAACTCAAATAGCCTAAGATAAGGAATCGCTCTCAAATAAAATAATCGATACAGCTCATACGTGAAGAAGGATTAAAGAGAGATAATGACAGATAAGTTTTTATTATTATTTATCAATTGTGTGGACTTTGATGTTGTGTCCGTTATAGATATAACGCATACCTATATATATTATGTCACGAAATTTGATGAAGCGAGAGAGGTATGTCAGTACAGTAACAAGTGGAGATATGTGGTGGCTGTCTACCCCATCGGGAAAAAGGCGTGACATAATAATTTGCTTCTTGCTATAGCTGACATATAGTCAGTAGGTATCATACATATTATACTATCATACTAGTGAAAGCTCGCTTCGCAAATATAAGTGTCTTTCTTCCAACTTCGATTTTAGACTGGAGTAGAGACTCTTGGGCCGTGGGCGCTAATTAAAGATATAAGTTGGCACCAGAGCTGGTGCTTTCCTCGCTCAACGAATAAGTATCGTAATACAGCTAGAAACTACCCAACATTAAACGTACACAGGGACCAAACTTTTTAAATTTATTTTAATTTTCAATTATAATTTAGATTTTAGATTCAGAAATACTGTATGTTCAGAATTTAAACTACGCAGAAGAACTCGCAGGTACCTGCTAGTAGATAATATCCGCAAAGGCGCGGTGTATTGAACGCGGGCGGTGGTTGGTCGGACAAAAATCAATACCGACAAAGTACAACGTCACATGTAGATAACTTCGTGGAACTTGAAAGGTTTCACGATTTTGTTATATTTCAGTTCAAACTGAAATGACAGTTGCTTTAGTTCCAGAATTTTGTGAATCCCCGAAACCAGACTCATGCGAATCTTCATAGTCATGTTTCACTGGGAAACATAGACAGGATTAAATAGTATTATATATATTTATAAATCTATATATATATATATATATATAAGCAAAATGGTCTTCGTTTGAGGCTCCTTCACGCCTTAACTACTGATCGTATCGACATGAAACTACTGCCATTCGATGCGAAATTTTTCCTAGATGGTTTATGAAAATTTATACATACGGACTTCACCGCGGAAACATTCGGGGAGGCTTCCTAGAACCTCAAAACGTCAACATCTGATAAAAACTCGATTTTAGAAAATTTTCAATATTCTTAGCGGGAAGTTAAAAAGAAGAATAATAAAAATATGAAAAAATAATAATGATGAAACATAAAATTGTATTTATTTCCTATTTTAATTCGCCCAGCAAAGCGGGCGGGAATCGGCTAGTTGAATATATATAAATGTATATAATTTAACAATTGAACTATGAAACGTTATATCACTGAGAACAATTTTAAAAAGTCGTTTATAAAGTAATCGTAAATCTGGTGGAATATAGATTTTTATTCATATAAATATGTACTTAAAAATTTAGCTTATAATTTAAATTGTAGATCTTAGAGATTTTATTAATCCTATGCATGTTTTTACGGATAAAAATCTATACAACAGACACAAAAATATGGAACCACAGAACTTTAACCACATTTTCTATGTTTTGCAGGAATTCTTTGTTTTTAATATGAATTTTACAAGTAATTTTTTGACATATTATATAACATTTTAGGACTTCGTATAGTCTAAACCACGTAGAAAAAACGTTATAGCATATTGCAAGGGTATAGGTGTATATAAATATTAACGTAACAGTACAAAGAAAATGTAATTAAGTAAAAACCCTATTTTCTGATACAAATAAATTTAACACAACTAAAAATTAATTCATACTAGACAATCAAAAACGGCAACGACGCGACGCGCGTACTAGTTCCGTAAATTTAAAAGAATACCTACGGCCGAGACGTAAATATTATACATACAGTATATTTTTCAATATACAGAATGAGTTCCGAGAGTTTTTTTACGGCTTTTTCTCTCGGCCTACACCCTCTGTCTTCTTTGCCGATGAGTAGGGATGTATGTCTAATAAGTGATATCTGTATCTTATATTCCATAATTTTAATTTTATTTTTTATTATTTTAAGTATTTTATTAATTTTATATTTTCACAATGGACTTTATACACAGATTAATCATTCTAATACGCACACATAAATGTTGTGTGCATTATCAGCTTTATACTTCATGCATGAAGGTGATAAATCCAGTCGAAAATTATTATTAGCCTGAGTGAGTTTTAAATTAATTGTCCTGTCCTGACCTAAAACCACTGGGTTTTCCCATGAATCATACGGACGTCAAAATAATCTCGGTTTTCATTCATGCACGTAGATTTGTGCGTCGCAATTCATGACGTGTTTTTTTAATAGAACTATACAGACTTTTCACCACAATCCCACCTTATGTCGAATGAGATGCGGCCTATTGGGGCATGTAAAGGAGATTTTATTTACACTACAATATAAACAATATCCTTACAATACAAAGTCAATGTCAACGTCGAAAAAATATATATCAATATACATAAGATACAAAATATTATAATACATAGTAGCTATGATCACTCTGCCAACATATAGATGTCGATAGTGTTGGAGACAGAAGGCAACGGGGATTGTGCAACAGACTGATTCTTAGTATCGCCAACAACCTTCGCCGTTGCACATATCCCCTATTTAGCCATAGCTTGAACCGATGCTATACTGTTAAAGGAAGATTGAAGAGGGCAAACTTACAATCTTTAGCTGTTTTTACAAGGAACAACGATCGGGCGTCGTACAACGATTCACCCCTTCGTTGTACGACGCATTTATTATATATTATAATATAATCAGTGGCGCTACAACTCTTTAGGTCTTGACCTCAGATTTCTGAATCTGTTTCATGATCATTTTTTTAATCTAATAGGCAAGTAGGTGATCAGCCTCCAATGCCTGACACACGCCGTCGACTTTTTGGTTCTAAGACATGTCAGTTTCCTCACGATGTTTTCCTTCACCGTTCGAGCAAATGTTAAATGCGCACATAGAAAGAAAGTCTATTGGTGCACAGCCGGGGATCGAACCTACGACCTCAGGTATGAGAGTCGCACGCTGAAGGCACTAGGCCACACTTATTATATATAGATCTGGTGGCGTTTCATTGTATTGGTCCTTTGGTACAAGTAGATGGTCTCCTATGCCTGACACATTAAGGAGAAATGTATTGGTGCATCGCATATCACTTAAGAACTTATATTACTTTTACTATTAAGTTAAAAAAGAGCTGGGAACCCTGACACAGGTATTTTCTTACTTGAAAGGGTTCCCAAATCTTATACTTTATAATGAATTGTTGCCAAATCTAATATATGAAATTGTCGTGTCACAATGTTCGTTCCCATACTCCTCCGAAACGGCTCGACCGAAATTTTTAATGCACATTCAGTGAGGCTGAGAATCGGCTACTATCTATCTTTCAAGCCCCTAAGTGATAAGGGGTGTCCACTCAAAATAAAAATATTTGGATGAATTATTTTTTATTATGTGGCATTAAATAATACATACAACCGTAAATTTTCACCCCTCTACGATCAACCCCTATTTTTATAGGGGGATAGTTTTTTATATTGAACTAAAAAAATGATTTTTAGAAATAATATACATGGCGAAACAACGTTCTCCGGGTCAGCTAGTAATGAATTAAAATTAACTGATCTTATTTTTTTATAACACCTGACCTGAGTGTTATGTCATGATTATATTTCGAATTAATCTAGAATTTAAATAAGCAGTAAAAACCAATAACAAACCATGAGTTTAAATTTAGACCCTTCCGTACCAAAAGTTTTTTACGTGTTAAATCACGATTTTAGCTGTCATTGTCATTATTGTTAGAAAATAGCTGTCAAATGTAAGGTAAGCCTATTCTCAACACATATTATATAACATATAGCGGTTTCTGTAGTCATAGCGTAATGTAACTTTTCAATTCAAAGATAGCTAGTAGATCAAGGAAGGTTGTTTCTTAAATGTCGCTTCATGTTTTGTCGTTTACATATATGTATATAGTTTTCAATACATAAACAGTGTCACATAACATAGGTTAATGTCAGAATCTTATTAATTGAAAAACAGCTTATTCGCGGAATCCATTTTCGTCGTAAAAGCGATTTTAGAGACAAACATCCGGTCGGTATTATCGTGTTTCATTTAAGAAATTTCATTACCAAATAATTTTTATGTTACAATACAACAAATTTTTAAGATGTCTTATTGCTTTGTAGTGCTGTCTAGTCTTATCTATAAGTGTGAGATCATGATCCATGAGATCATGGGCTCAATTCCCAGCTGTGTTCCATAAAAAGATCTCAAAATCGATTAAATATTATGATAATGATAAACATATATCAATGAAATGTCCTCATTATATCGGTTGATTTATCATATCTGTTAAAATGGATTACTTTGAAAAAAATTAACGTATAGATAAAGATGATTTTATCAAATGATACATAGATTAATGAGAATCATACTTATATAAAAATTACTAATTATAAGTCATAGTGAGCAGTGGGTTAACAGAGGACGTTATGACAAGAATACCAAAGGGAATGCTTAGGTCTATTGAGAAGCTTACAAGTATACGAAGTCGGGTTGGGTAGGTATACCTGGACCAACATGAGAAGGGACAAGTTAAAAGTACCTACCCGATCGACAAGTACGCATGGGG